GTCCACTGAATGGATCTGTATCTATAATGAATAAAACAATTACATTGAGTTAATAATCGTGTCTCATCATTTGATTACATTCTAACACACTCCAGTTTATAGCAGGTTATGTCATGAGTCAGATTAGGAATTAGTTGTTTTACTGTGTATTAAATCTCTTCTGAGGTTTAATCGATGGAGTCGACCAAGTTCATAGAGATATGATAAACGCAACTCTCTGAATCGACTATACTCATGGTATCGTCATTTTGAATCTTCTGGTTTATTATGGGTTAGGACAATACATCGAATGAGTTTGGAGATTTATACTTGCCATCGAAATTATGAGACAGTAAATATACAGCTAATGTTCAGAGGAGATTTGTCGTGCAGACTGTAATTCTTTCTCTACTGAAATCATGAACCGATCAATGTTAAACCACCAATGAAAACTTGAGAGTACATGATAGTTGTTTCGTCTTTGTATGGGACTACAACAGTGTGAATCGTCGACCCTACATGAGCGACTTGAATACAGGAATTTAGGTTTCGCGCAAACGTTTGACCTATAGACCACTTAGCCGAGACCCAACTTTGGTGGATTCCCATACTAGAACAAAGCAGTCGTCCAGTGCCTCAGGTTCTCGTTGTTGGGTTTATGGTGACAGGGAACATCAGCGATTTCCACAACCCAACACTGATAATCCATTTTCTGAATTTGATCTTTGAAACAAGCAGCTAATAAGCTGTTTTAAAGATTCGTTTTCTTTAACTTAAAGGCATGCAACTGTAAAACGCGTTTTAGCAAAATGTCTTCTCTCATTAGATTTCGTGAAAATACTCTTAATTACAACCAGTTGATATGAATATTCTTTGGATTGAGTAATCAAATAAGTCTGAAATTCAGCCTTAGGTTATATCGATCCACTGAAAGTTTTACACACAACTACTTAGGCTCCCCAAAGTAAATGTTCCATATAATTGAAATAAATGAGGTCCTCAAAACTTTTTTACTACTTATCTACTAACAATGGAATAGCACATGGCATCGTTCTTCTTTGTTTGAAGCAATGCCAAAGCCGAAGATATCAAGATGTTTTTTTTAAAACTGTACAACCTTCAGGGAATTCACGAAATACTGAACAATACTTTCCTTAAATATGACTGATGAGAGAACAGGAGTAGATCGAAACTTTTGTCACACATCACCGGAATAAAAAGTATTATGTGAAAAAATTATAAATCTGAAGGGTAATTTATTTACCGAAATACATGAATTATTATTGGTTTGTTTAGTTTCCCTATACGATTGTCGGAATCAGATGATTCAATTTTGAACAGATCCTCATTTCTACTATACCTAGCATCTAAAGTGATTTCAATTCAATAGTAAAAACAAAGTCATCACCTTGGTTCAAAACTGTTCCAACTTTATATGAAGATTTACTCATTATCAACTGAGAAAACTAAGCATTTAATAGTTTGGTTAATTTCAAACTTAGCTACAGTCTGATATTTCCTAACGTATGATTAGAAATTAACAGATCAATGGTAGTTTAGCTGAAGTTAGCCTCACATCGTTATTCGCGTCGATTGAAAAGTATTTATTTATTTTATTTTAACATATAGATATTGGTACAAGGAGGCATCAAGTACATATGCGCCACACAAATCTCAATTGTTTTGTGTGAGGACTGTGATACTGCCTGGGTACCCAAACCGAAGCAGGTGATTTTCTTAGGGAGCCACAACCAGAGCCTTTGACCTGAAGGTCTGATCCACAAGGCAGTGGAGCAATGTCAGGAGATGCAGTCTCATGGTAGCCGGTGACCAACGATTAATTCATACGTCATTCGTTCCTTCAGGATACTGGAGCCCAAGTGAACCATTGGTTTGGTATCCGTTTCAGGCCCTGGACATTCGGTTTTCGTCCTCTCATTTTCGTGGACAACATCCGTGGTGCGAGAAGGCAGTGTGAAGGACTTCATTAGCAGAGGCTATTTGAGGGCCATGTGAGAGTATTTCGAGAAGGACAGCTGACTCTCCCCACTTCCGGCCGTACCAAGGCAGTAAGAGGCTTGGAACGTATGATTGGTTACGATTAATGACATTCGGCTATAAATGTAATAGCGTACACAAGATGGAGAAATTATTATCAAAACTCTGAAGCTGCATCGATTCACTATGCAGTCGTAACTTGACGCCATTAAATCGGCAGTTTTACTTCGGGTTATATCTAGCCTCATATATCGAAATTTTAAAAGTGGAAGTTTTCATGGAAGTCAATATCTATGATCAAACGTTTAATCAGATACCGCTTGAAGTTCTTAACCTTCAATCAATATTTAGCATGGTTACATCAGGATTCATTCATTTCAACTGCATGTAATGAAATTATAACTGGAAGATGAGTAAACAAACCTGGACTTATTATTGACTATATTAAAACGATGATATTGTTACGGGAGTATATGATTAATCGGTAATTTGTTTCCACATTCTTGTACCTTTCCCTTTTTTAGGTAATTGTACTAGATATTGATATACTACTGAATACAGATATTATTGAATTATGGAATCATTTTAACTTTTTTAAAGAAACTCAGGTTTGTTTTCTAATCATTATTGTTCATATTATTATTATTGATTAAAGATTGATATTCAACGTTAAATCAAACATAAAACAATTTGTAATGGACTACTTACCAATATCATTGATATCAAAGTACAATTGTTGTTGTTGTAGTGGTGGTGGTTGTTGTTGAAATGCTTAACAACAATTGAAGTTGATTAGAAGATTGATCTGAATTGAATCTACATTTGATCTTAACTTACTTGATAAATACAAAAATAAGAAAATATTTGACTGAGTTTATATTCAGAGAAGGATTTCTGTGGTTGAGATCATAAGTGAATAGAAGCTAGACTACTATGGAAAACCCGGATGCACTAAACGTCCGTTTCGTTTTATTGTGGGACTTCTCAGTAGTGAGCATCCACGATCCCGTCCCCCGTAGGGTACGAACCCAGGACCTACTGGTCCCCCGCGAGAGTACTCAACCACCAGACCACTGAATCGGCATTCAATGGTGTTAATGTCTAACTTCAACTAATTCACGAAATCGAGTCACGCATCCACCATTGTCATCAGTGAGTTACTATCTCGCAACAGACCAGGTTGAACTCTACTGGTCACTGCTTCACATTAGAACTCCAGGATATACTTCTTGAAGCCAGTCACTATTAAGCATATGTTGATTATTGTTAGAACGTGGTTTTGTGACGATTTTAGTGATTTCAATGATTAAGATCATGAGTGAATTGAATCTGGACCACTATGGAAAACCTGGAAGTACTGGACGGCCGTTTCGTCCCATTGTGGGACTCCTCGCTAGGTGACGTCGTGGATGCGCACTGCTGAGGAGTCCCACAACAGAACGAAATGGCCGTTCTGTGCTTCTAGGTTTTCCTTAATGGTCTAGCGTCAATTCACTCATGACCTCAACCATTGAAATTTGACTGAATGTTGAGTATATGGTTCCCATTGGACTATAAAGTCACGACAAACCAAATACTATTGTTATTATCATGATCTCAATACGAATGGAATGAATTCATTATTAGTTATTCATGGATCCGACAGTATGGATTGTGAATGCTCAGATTGTCTTAAATGAAACATTAAATGAGATAGTTATTCGTGATATCATTTTTAAAAAAATCAAACTCACATAGGCAGCTAATTGTATCATGAATGGGTTTTACGTTGTGAATTCTTAAGTGAAGAGAAGTCAGAGAAGTTCACGAAAGCTTTATTTATAAAAGCAAACTAAACGAGTGAGATATTTTTCGGTTTCTTGTATATTCAGAGAAGAATGTATCTTCAAACAGATATATACTTGTAACGACATACGTGAAGATAGTTGTCAGAAGGTGTTTTGTAGAGATTTTAAAAATTTCAATAATTGAAATCATGAGTCAATTAAAGCTAGACCACCATGGGAAACCTGGGAGAACTGGACGGCCGTCTCATCCTAATATGGAACTCCTCAGCAATGCTCATCCACGACCCCGCCTCCCGCAAGACCCGAACTCATTCTCGAGCGCAAGTGCTTAACCATTAGATCACTGAGCTGGTATTCAACTTTGTTAATGTCTAATTTCAACCAATCCACGAAATTGCGCCACCGTACACCATTGTCTTCAGTGAGCTGATATCTCACAACAGACCTGGTTGAACGCAACTAGTAACGACAGTGTCAAAATGAGAACAGCTCAGTGATCTAAAAAATGTTACTATTATTACCTTTATTCAATATTTTATTTGTGGTACAATATAGAATTCTCAGCACAAAATATTTCATCAAGCTTCTATTTTCTACTTTTTGTTTGATCCAGACGATAAATAGTGAGTGATCGCCAGTTAAAAGTTAGCAGTTCAGTCAATCGACATCTAATTCATGTACAATCTTTTCGCTGTATATTATCAGAAATCGCGATATTACTGATTGGGTCTTTCGTAAATTGTTCAACGAAGGGTTGTACACTTTTTAGAAACTCAACTGAAAATGTTATGTGATTGATAGGCACAAGGATGTAAAAAAAATATTAGATGACTGGTTGAAATATCTAGATGGCAGCAACAGGTAGCTCGGAGGTGTCAGTGAAGTAACGTCAGGTAATGCAGTCCCATGGTAACCAGTGACCAACGATTGGTTCATACGCTATTTTTTCGCCTTAAAATACTGAAAGCCATGTACACCTTATTTCATTTTGACGTTTAGTCATTAGTAAGTATTCCTGATCATAATCCCTGTCAGTGTTCTACATTTTTCATTAATTTCACAGTTGATTTCAACTTGGGACTAAATTTTCAACTTTAGCTAAACAATGTTTTGTGTATATCAAATTCACAATGTTATTGAAAAATATTTATACTTCTGATGGCTTATAAATCTTCATGTGTTTTTTCAAAGAGCATAGGTATTGGATCAGAACAAAATCCATATTTTCAAGAAGTTATGACTAGGTTAGAAAGTAATTGGAAAGTAAGTTGAAACAATATAATACATCACATTACAATTGGAATGAGTTACACTTTTGTATGCCATTGTCTTTTTCAAGAACAATTGCACTGAGACTATAGCTTTTGGACGAAGTTTGAGTGATGCTGAATTGATCTAGAGATAGCTCACCTACTTGTCTAATGTGGTTGACGTATTTTTAGCAAACGATTTTCTACGGGATGGGGTTTCTGACCTCATATGCAACCCTTCTTCTTTACCAGGACTTGGAACTAGCAGAAACTCTAGAAGAGCTACAGGCGGAGTTAGCTCACCTACTTACAAGTATCAAAATGAGGTTATAAATTAGTGTGAGGAGTCACGAATAAGATTTCGAGTTACAATTTATGGTTACAAATGAAAGTGAGGATTTTCATCACGAACTGGCATCAGCTATAATGCCAAAATGCTCTTTAACTGTATGGATGAATTATTATCGCGCGAAAACCCATGACAGGCTATCTTCAATTTCATTGGTTTGCCGATATATTATATTCTCCCACCAACTTCTTTTCATCAGGCAGTAGTCATTTACAGCCAATTAATTCTTTCTTATTTATATCAGACTGAAGTCATGGAAGTAGATGATGTATTTCAGAGCTTTCGAATACCTTGTTTGTTTTGTAGTGACGTTTGAATTGTGCTCATCGAGTTGAAATGTACTTACCAAGCTAATAAACTTTAATTGACAAAAAGAATCTTGCAAACAAGTTTTGTATAATTTAGTACTTGTAAACTCGAAGGTATATGCAGAATCTTGAGGAATTATGATTATCTCCGTGAGATGCGTATTCACTTCTTAGTTTAGATTATTAAGGGAATGTGAGAATACATGATCAAAGGTTGTAAGTAGCTTTTATTCTGATTGTTGTTAGGTTAATGCCAGAGTTGAATACTGAAAATATCAACTTCTATACAATCAACTATCATTTCGTCTGTGCATAGTATGGTGGATCATATGTATAATGTTTATTTTAGGGTTACGGATATAATAGTGGTGTTCTGTTACTTGATCTGTCTAAATTACGATCAACCAATTGGAATCATCTATGGTTAGGCCTAACTAGAAGAGCTATTGAAAGACAAGGTTACTTAACCACTAGTGAGCAGGTAAGTTCAAACTTCTCACATATTCATTATAACTACTTTTAATGATTGTGAATATCTATATGAAGGATATTAATTTACAACGACACTCAGCTGGATATCCCAGTCGAATGGTTGCGTCTTCCTATCATGACGGAAAGTGGTTTGTTGATTATATATGTATTATCTTTACCCTCATAACACAATCAGAAATCGTTTCGACTCCCCTCACATCATGGTGTGGAACACGGTTTATGGAATTACATCGGGATTGATGGGCCTTGAAGAATTACGCTCCTAAAACAACAACTGGGTTTTTAGCCACGTCTCTGATACACAGAAATTTTGACTTAGCAGAGGAAACACCTGAACCTCCACACTCAGCAGCTACCATTTGAATGGATCTACAGGATACACTGGTTAAAGACCTATATACTCGACAGTACACACAAGAATAATTACTGTATCGTGGTTTATAGGTTATCGCTTGCATCAATCGATGTGGCCAATTGTGGACATACATTCGAGTGGACCAAATGTCGAAATCTTGACAGGAGGGAATAATGAGAACGTCAGAGAATTTGTGGGAGCTCAGCAATCAACAAACACATTATTATCGATGCAGTTTATTAACCAACCAGAAAAATCATGGAGAAGTATGTGATCAAGAATCAGATCAAAGAAAGAGACTATCCACGACTTAATAATCCAGTTCAGTGAACGAAACTCCATAAAAATCAACCATCAGAGTTCCAAGCATTCTCCACCATCTCTGAATATCATGTGTATAGGACATTAGTTAACTATAATTTATTGATAGAAATAGACATGATAATAGTTAGTTATAAAAGTCAGGGTTTAAATTTAACAAAGCATAAAAGTGACATATATCTGTTGTTTAATGAACATCATCAAGATTTCATGATATTATGAAAACGATAGAGTAAAATGTATTCATTACATTGGCCCTCAAATGCCCTGATACGACCGAGAGTGTAGAGAGTTAGCTCTCCTTCTCGAAATGCTCTCATATGGTCACGTGTATGCTGCCACTGACAGGGTGATCCCACTCAATGCCTTCTCGCACCATGGGTGTTGTTTACCTGGTGCTTTAACCGGGTTGGTAGATTTGAAGGATCCACCTAGAGGAGTTGGAAAACCCTGATTCCATATCAGTGATGCACATGGGCTCCAGGATTTTGAGTGAACAAATGGCGTATGAACCGATTGTCGGTCAGTGGCTATCATGAGATTGCATATGCAGACGTTACTCCACTACCTTGTGGATCAGACATATAGGTCGAAGGCTCTAGGTATTGTCTCGTAAGAAAATCACCTGCTCCAGTCTGAGCACCCGGACAATATCACAGCACACACACACACATCAAGTGACTTGTGTGGTGCAGTTCGTTTGACATTGACAAGAAATAAGATTAGAATGATAATGAAATAGGGAACTCTGTCCAGTCCACCTCTCAGATCATGATCTATAGAATGTACCACTGTACTAACATTAGCTTATTTCAAATATCGTTACTTATTTATTCGTTTGCTTATCCATTTTAGGACACTATAAATCTAGTACTATTTGAATTCAATTACATTCTACATGAGATTCCATGTGAATGGAATATTCAATTGAGTGGAGGAAGTGATGAACAACGATGTCCTGTAAGTTGGTTAACTTATAATGAATTAAAGAAACGTAATTATACGACAAATTTTAAACAACCAAAACTTATTCATATTAATCATCATATAAAACCAGATGATGTAAAAGTGAATGATACACCGACTGAGTACATTGATCAATCTGATATCACTCTTAAACGTAAGTTAATCTGTTATTAAATGTTATGCAACTGATAACATACAATTCTCATGCTGCCTTCATATTAGAATTGATAGATATCAAATTTTAAATATGAGACGTACAATTAAACAAGACACCCGAACTGTAATGTTTCAACCTCCAAACGTACATTCCCTTAACAGTGATGTTTACGACTAAGAATAATCAGTCTCTTACTGACATATTATATGCATCCTGTTAGGATTATTTCGATATTGTCTTAATTCACAATCATTCTAAGCAAAGATGAATGGTACCTAGCATTGGAATCTACCAAGCGAGTTTCGTCGAATTTAGGACTCATCAGCAAGATATACTTACATCCTAGATTTGATGTTCAAACTCCCTGTTTTTCACTTCAGACGTCATCGCGTTTTCTACTTATCTACTGAGTCGAGCTAGCAATTAACTCATGAAATTAGATAAATTTCAATCGACTTTGTATTGGTTATTTGAATCTTCCCATTGATGATATGACCAATAGCAGCTTTCTCCTTATAAGTCCCAAATAGGACTCGTTGTTAGATAGTCATGTTTTTCTCGTCTAAATGAACTATGTGTATACTTTGAAGCAGTAGATCACATTATTATAAAGCATTAGCTTCACCTACCATGTTATCACTCCCTACAATTGCGTATTTATGTTTATTCTCTATTGAATTGTAATTTCATTTGTAGAAAATGAACTATATGATAAATTCGTATCAGTATACCGTCAATATACTCGATTACATGAATCATGTTTCCAATAGATTCAATTCAAGAACCAATCAATTTGATGTTGATCATCTTCCGCATCATGTAATTTTTGTACTATTCCATGTTCTAAATCAATAGAATTGTTTATATTTTATTTTTCTTCAAATAAATTTGATTGATGATAACAAGGCGATATTCTAAGACTCTTTCTATGGAATTGTGTGTATCTACTAAGTTGATGAAATATGGTCGTTGAATGGGATGATTGTGGAAAGTAGGTGGAGCTAAGTGAATAAGAACATGGTGAAAGAAAATAAGATTTTGTCATTAGTTGAACAACCAATTGAATGGAATTTGTCACTGAATCAACTTCCTTGATAATGAAAAAGCATTTGATAGTATGCATAGAAGAAAGATATGAAACCCTCATCAACATAATTGTGTAACTGAGAAGATTGTCAGCGCCATGCGAAATACATACAATGGATTACACTGCAGAGTGGTGCATGAAGGACAGCTGACAGACGCATTTCAAGTGAGGATCGGAGTCAGACAAGGCAGTTTACTCTCGCCATTCCTCTCTCTTCCGGTGGTCAACCAGATTATGTAAACCTCCATATCTCAAGGAAACACAGTATGCAATGGACAGCTCTGAGTCAATTAGAAGATTTGCACTTTGCAGATGATCTGCAATTAATAACTCATACACATGAACAAATGCAGATCAAAACAAATGGTGTAGCTTCAGCCTATCAATCAGTAGGACTCAACATACACATGGGTAGAAGCAACATCCTTAAATACAACACAAAGAACACCAACGCAGTCACACTTGATGAAGAGTCTGTGGAAGGGGAATGGGAACATTCACGTTTCTGGGTAGCGTCATGGAAGAGGATGAACAAGGAGGATGTGATGCAGACTTACAGGCGACGATTGGCAAAACAGGAACAGCATTCCTACAGCTGAACAAAAACACATTCAAGTCAAAACCACTGTCAACCAACATCAAAGTGAGAATGTTCAATACGAACATCAAGACAGTTAGTTCTATTGTATGGAGCTGAGACTTCCAGAACTAGCACAACCATCATCAAAAAAGTTCCAGTATTGGTAGCAGTTGTCTAGATAAGATGCTCAACGTCCGTTGGCTGGATACCATCAGTAACAGTCTATAATGGGGGAGGACAAAGCAGCTTTCACCTAGGGAAGAAATAAGGAATAGACGCTGGTAGTAGATAGAACACACACTGAGGAAATACTCAAACTGCATCTCGAGGCAACAGCTAACTTGGAATCCTGGCTAAAAGTATCATTTAGAAATAAGTGCATCAGAATGAAGACAGTGATTTTAGGGTTTCTGCGTAAAATTCTAATCTCATGTATGACCAGCAGTAAACATACCATACCATACCACACCATACTCAAAAAGTTTAACATATTAGCGGAGATCCAATTTTTTACTATGGAGGAAACCTGATAACGTTGAGTGCATTTAATGTTTAATTCTGTCATTTTCGATTGCATATAACGAAAAGATGCTTCCTATATATCTTAACCCTAAACCTATAATCTTTACAGTAAATACAGAATATTTTAAGCATTTTAAGCATTCAAGAAGATGAATAATCAATGTCCATATCCACGAACTTATATCTCGCTGTTTGTTTACTGTACAAGTAGAGCAAACTGTGGAAGGCATTAATTGTTTTATTAGATACTTAGAATTGGGTCACACTGAGGTGTACGCTGGCTACTTATGATGACAGATATAAAAAGTACGTAATACTGATCAGAAGTGGAATGTCTAGCAGCAGAAGATTGCAAAGATTGGTTTGAAGAGAAAACGAATGTAAAGGGAAAGAAATTACAGTGGAATTAGAATGGGAAGCGTTGAGTCTGTCGAAGCGCCTTAGTCATCTGGCTGAGTTACACGCAAAATCGAAGTTCACAAAACAACGGTTTGTCTAAAACAGCTGTTGCTTATTGAATAATATATGAAATTAGTTACAAACATGAAGTTGTGAGGTGTGTGCGACGTTTACTACAATATTTGTCTGAAATAAAAAGGGCTTCGTGTAATAGTAACACAAAGAATAATTACAACATACCATAGAACAAACGACAGCTATTAGTTGTGTCTAACTAAACTTGGTAACAGTTCATCAACAAGCAAAACCCAACCATAAGCGTGCAATATGAAAAGCGTTGCATTTAAACAAGAAGTAAACAATTAAACAAAATTGTGGATAACTACTATAATAATTGAGGTGAAGTAATTATAACGGTAAATACAATAAATCTTATAGGTAGATGTAAATATTTCCGAATATTACACGACAAACTTGCCTGACAACATAAGCTTAGAAATTGCTAGGAATACAACTATTTACTGAATATTAATAGGAAGTAGTAGTAGTAGTAGTAGTAGTAGTACATCAATACACAAAAGAGTGAAAGGGAAGTGAATAAGGACAGAGAATGTAAAACACACTTAACTGGAAGTATCATGTAAACGACATGTAAAGGACAATTGAGTGCAGATGTGCAAATGATGTATTTAATGTATGATTTTTGTATTTTATGAAACTACTCTACTACAATTTCCATTCCGACTGTTTTTCAATTGCCTCAGTTGTCTAATTCAATTATGGTTGAATGGTGTTATTGTAGGCCCAGCTGATTTGACTCCGATCTGGCTGAATGTATGAGGACATACATATGGACATACATTTTCCATTTAAATCTGTATGTTGCCTAGGCTAACACCATTTGTGTGACGCCAGTAATAAGAAGCTACATACGCGCTGCACAGGAAGGGCTTATTTCAAGCTCTTGTTTATCCATACAGATATGCAGAATAAGAAGCAGGTAAGTGAAGCGGAGAAAGAGACAGGTCGATTTGATCAAGAATGTTTTGATATTTATAGTTAGACAAAAATAAGTTACAGACATATGATGAGTAGGCTGAGCTATGCAGACAAGTACGCTCATATATGCTAGAATTCAGGAATCTTGTTTTCAGTAGATCTAATTCAACAAATACTCGACTTGATATTGTCATCCCAACGAAGGTATATGGATATATATATAGGTAGTTCATTTATTTTGTATCATCTTAGTCGTTTAACGCCTACATTGTTTCTATGTGAATATATTTCACAGAAAATTTATTTATGAAGACAAGTGATAATCTAATAGCATTTATATTGAGTGTGGTCACATTCTTCCGTAAATTACAATCTATTGATTATGAAAGTAAAATGATCTCTGTATATGATCATCAATATGGACTGATAAACAACCATAGAGCCTGATAATGAACTTATTGAAAACAATTTCTCTTTTAAATATTCTTCTTGTTTTGTTTTATATTAGAATTAGTACAACATAATAGTGAATTAATTTATTGATGTATTAGAGCAATACATTGGCACTTGGTAAATATGACAACCATCAATTTCAATAGTAACTAACACCTAATTCTATTCTCATAATTAATCGACTGTACCTTATGGAAGAATGTGACCCCGCAAATGTGTCATTGACCTGTATACTGTTGAAGCCAATTTTCATACAGAGAGAATAGATAAAATTGTGTGATATTGGATAACTGACTTGTATGAATTCTACTTTCATTTGGTTCAATGTTTCTACTTTATGATTAGTCGTGTTCATTATTATAGTTTTCTAAGAAAGTTTATCTGTTGTTAAAACATCGTTGTCCTAAATGTAAAATGATTAGTACCTGATGAAAAATGGAATGTGAATGAAATATAAATCTTCATTCACTTCTTATACATCATTTCCTCCGCTTGAACATGGTTTATTCTCTCCCACTGTAGGTTGTTGCTGGCCAACGGATCCGAAGTATTTTACACAAACAATTGCTAATAAACATTTGTATCTTCTGGATGATGGCTTTCGTAGTTGCTACACTGTTCTTCTTCTCTTGCACTTGTTATGGTGAAATAAGATCACAGGATAGACAGATATCATCCTCCATTGCAAAACATTCGATTGAGACGGGTTATAAGATTGACATCAAATCAGCATTTGTAGTGTTATACAAAAGCCTTGAAGGACGTAAGTCCGGTTTGATTCACTGACCTTCGCGTACATCAATATTCATGCGAATAAAATACCTTTCAGTTGTGTTGATACAGTTATGGTTTCTTTGTTTACGGAAATCAGCCTTATCATGTAATAATATCGAACAGATTTATAAAAAGCTGCATTGTTTACCACAATCAGCTAACTACTCGATCTGCAAAACAGAACATTTGTTTTACTCAATATGTATTCTCTAAACATAATCTTCAAGAAGCTTTTTAAGCAAATTTGTGAAATGGCCAGCAGTTGAATTTAGAACCTATTTGAAACTTGTCAACTGGATGTACCTTCAACAAGATACTGATCAAATACAGTCGTACATAACCATGTGTAGTTACAAGTAAAACAACACCAAATGAATATAATCTTCAACAAAAATAATGACATTCTCTGACTATCTCTTCAATGTGTCACCAAAAATTTCATTTTGATTTGTTATTTCAATTTGAGTATTCAGCGGGATGGATGGTGGGTGTGGAATCACTGTAATTATTAATACAAAATGTATTCACCAACTACTTAAATAGCTTCATCAGTGTAATGTCTTTTGCTGTTTTAGGAAAACAAAATTCACATTGTCATCATATTTGATGGTGATCGAGGTCTACAATATCTGAATAGTCTTCTTAAATCTATTTTCTATTATCAAAATGGAAGATTTCGATGTGATTTAAAAGCTTGTTGTCTATCAAAATTTTGCGATCGATTCATCGATGATTGTCATACTGTTATGAACAGTGGGTCGACAACATATACAACTGTATTTAATTTCTTAATAACGACGATTGCATCAAATAGTCAGTTGTTGAATTTGATGAATACATGGAAATTACATAATATGGAATATCATTTTTATAGTTGTAGTGATTATTTGGTAAGTGTTCACATGCATTATAACTAACTGTGTTACGTCACTGTTCCTATAATGTAATAAGAGTTTTGTGGAGATAGGAATTTTTTATAGTTCAAATCACGAACTGATATTAGTTGGACAATGATTGAAAAGTTGATGGTTATCGACAGACATCTTGTCTTGATACAGCATTTCATAGCCTCAACCCAAGTGTTGGATCCAACACCTGCGATCTCGCACATGAATGCCTAACCTGTAGTCCGATAGATGGTGATTTCACAGTATTCTAGTTTGACTGAAGTTAGCATGAACATATTTGGACGTCCACTTAGTAGTTTAGAGGTCAAGCGTTCTCTCTCGAGATCCAAGTTCGTGCGTCGGATTTCGGATACGGTGTTGCGATGCACACTGCTGGAATTCCATACTTGGATGAAACAACGGTCCAGTACTTCCAAGTTTTCAATGGTTTTCGATCTTAGATTGGCTTGTGATTTCAATGTATTATGGTATTTAACTTGATTATGTGTGATTATTTGCAGGTAAATCTTCGCTGGATTAAGTCTAAACATCCTTCAGGCGCTAAACCATTTTTAAAATTGATGATTCCAACAATTCTTCCATCTACAATCAGTAAAGTAAGTCATAGTTGTGCTCCTTTTCTCAGTAAGTTTCATCGTATTTTTCATCAAATAATTCTGTATAAATTGACCTCAATATTTACGTGTTTGATTCGCGATTTCGTATGAAGAAAACAAGTTAGTGTCAGTGTTCAGTAAGTGATTCTTATTCTACTACCACCTTGATAAGTATATAGTCAAGTTGAAGGACTACATTCTCCGAGGAATTACGAAACGTGAGCACAGATAATAATGTAATACAAAAAAGCATAATACTAAATTATATAATGGAATTAATAACCGTACAAAACAGTGGAAGTGATCTTAAGGAGAATGTTTTCGAACACTGATTGAATGTGAATAAATGAGTCTAACTAAGAAGAATCGAAAAGTAGTCGGTATATATCATGTTTCTTAGTTTTCATTATTCCTTAACTGTGATCAATCTATGATGTGAATTATATGCAAATTCAATCATTCATCTAAATCAGAAAGTAATAACGTATGACTAATATCAATTGTAATACAAATACAATTACAGACTACTTCTGTTTGATTATTCTTATGAAATATCAAAGATATTTGTTGTTGAAAGTGCTATAAAAGTGAGAACGTTTGACAATTTTCGAAACTAGAGTCGATAATAAATGCATGTCAAAGTTAAAGTCAAAGTAGATAAAAGTGGGATAAATGGATATGAAAAAATTATCAATATCATGTGATATTTTTGATGCCTATAGCTTCTACGTTATGTAAGAGATGGAATCGAACCCCCCTCGAAAGTCAAGTTAGCATACAATGAAACACGGACGAATGACCATTGACAACTGGGTTCGTCATGATAAAGCTATGTATCATCCTCGTCTGGCTCTTCCTAAAACAAACTAAATAGTACACTTGTCTAAAATGACACAACGGCTCTTTAAAATGTCTCCAGATGTCAAGAAAGTTGCTTCGACTAGTTTGTGCCTTGTGGAAAGTTTCAAGATAATTCTAGAAAACGGCTAATTATGCCCTCCTATTGTTGATTGAACAGTATCAGTGATGGTTATCAGTTTTGGTATGTTTTCCTGAAGTGTTGTAGTGGAGTGACAACTACACAAAATGTAACATGTAACGTGTCGATTCACGACGCAGTTGTAACATAACGCCTTTAAATTGTCAGTTTTACTTAGTGTTATATCTACTCTCAAATATCGAAGGTTTAAAAGTGGAAGTTTTCATGGAAGTCGATATCTGTGATCAAACGTTTAATCAGATACCGCTTGAAGTTCTTAACCTTCAATCAATATTTAGCATGGTTATATCAGGATTCATTCATTTCAACTGCATATAATGAAATTATAACTGGAAGATGAGTAAACAAACCTGGACTTATTATTGACTATATTAAAACGATGATATTGTTACGGGAGTATATGATTAATCGGTAATTTGTTTCCACATTGTTGTACCTTTCCCTTTTTAGGTAATTGTACTAGATATTGATATACTACTTAATACAGATATTATTGAATTATGGAATCATTTTGAGTATTTTAAGGAAACTCAGGTTTGTTTTCTAATCATTATTGTTCATATTATTATTGATTGAAACATTATTGATATTCAAAGTAAAAACAAACATAAAATAATTTGTAATGGATTACCTACCATATGATTGATATCAAAGTGTAGAGTTTCAGTTGAATTGAATCTATAGTTTATGTAACTTACTTGATAAATACAGAGAAATCTATATGACTGATTGTTCATGACATTGTTCCCATTGAACTATGAACTCACAATAATCCAAATATGATTATTCTTATCTCAATTGAATGAATATGAATGGAATGATTTCATCATGAATTATTCAAAGATCCAACAGTATGGATTGTGAATACTCACACTATTTTCTTTTTCTTTTTTTTAATGAAACATTTAATCAAGACAGTCATTTATGTCATGATTTTTTAAATCTGACTAACAGAGTCATCTAGTTGATTGATGGATGAGTTTTACGTAATAAATCGTTAAGAGAAGTAAGAATAGTACATAATAGCCTTATTTGCAAAGATAGTCAAAACAATTGAGATAGTTTCGGTCAAATGTTTGTATATTCAGAAAGGAACATATCTTCAAACAGATATAGATTCTTGTAATTAACATACGATGAGTGAGATATGTGATAACAAATAGTTATGTGGAATTTAGTGTGTGTGTGTGTGTGTGTGATAGACACAATGTGAAAATGAGAAGGAAGAACACGGAAATATGGAATTCGTTGAATGAGAGCCCAGTGATTTAGCAGTTATTATTATTATTATTATTACGGATTTTATTATTAACGGCTTCATTCAATATTATGTTTGTGGTACAATAAGGAATTGTCAACACACTGTATTTCAACAAGTTTCCGTTTCTTACTTCTTGGATGATCCGGAACATGAATACTGAGTGATCGACAGTTAAAAGTTAACAGTTCAGTCAATCGACATCTAAATAATAATGTACATTCATTTTGGATATACCGATGATATACGAAGTTCAGTTACGAAGTAATCAAGAAAATCAGGGAAAACACATGATCATAAACAATTAGAATACAATGCCACCTCAGGTCACCATTCACTGTTGAGGTTATTCAATACACATGTTTATACACATGTTTTGTGATTACCAAGATTTGTTGAATATAACTAGGTTGACACGGCATGGTTTGATATAATCAAGTGTCAAGCATGTACAAACTGCATCAATCCTCAGTCAGTCAGTTAGCTACGACGTAGCATCAGGCACAAATATATCTATATATAAATATATCGGTCCAAGTTGTCATACCTCATTAACACAGAAAGATGAACACCGGACTCACAGTAGTTAATTCAGTGGTGGTAGAACATAAAAGAATGATATAGTACAGGAAGAAAGAAACATATGAAGCGATTTTAATCTCATATTTTAAGGGGAGATATAAAGTGTATACACCCACGTCATTGTGATCAATTCTGAACCATGTCACACAGAGTGTCCAAACATTGGTTTCGATAGTCACGCGCAACACAACCAAGTAGTCTGCATCTATCAACATGGCTAATGCTAAATGTTAGTGATTTCGAGGTCTGATGCCACGTTTTGGTTTGGCAGCCTCTAACTTTCTTCCAGCCATCCCCAACCACATCATTCCTACTGTAGAACATAATACTATGGTAATGAAGTGAAGAGTTAATAGTCAAATGAACGGGTGTTGAATGATGTAACTAATTCATTATGTTGAAGTTGGGATACCTATTACCTATTAAGTTGAATGCTGAATGTGTCAGGCAATGAATCAGCTAATAAAGCCAGAAATATCATTGATAATTTGATTGCAGCTCAACCGTGTGAAATAAATCTCTGAAATGCATGTTTAATTTTGACATTTAGTCATTGGTCAGTATTCCTGACCATAATCCTTGTCAGTGTTCTACATCCTTCAATAATTTCACAGTTGATTTCAACTTGGGACTGAATTTTCAACTTTAACTAGACAATGTTTTATGTGTATCAAGTTCACAATGTTATTGTAAAATTTACTGAAGGATATTTTCTGATGATCGTTTCAAATGTATACTTCTGACCGTTTACAAATCTTCATGTGTTTTTTCAAAGAGCATAGGTATTGGATTAGAGCAAAATCCATATTTTCAAGAAGTTATGACTAGGTTAGAAAGTAATTGGAAAGTAAGTTGAAACATTATGATACATCACATTACAATTGCAATGATTTACACTTTTGTATGCCATTGTCTTTTTCAAGAACAAAACCCTGATTCCATATCAGTGATGCACATGGGCTCCAGGATTTTGAGTGAACAAATGGCGTATGAACCGATTGTTGGTCAGTGGCTATCATGAGATTGCATATGCAGACGTTACTCCACTACCTTGTGGATCAGACATATAGGTCGAAGGCTCTGGGTATTGTCTCGTAAGAAAATCACCTGCTCCAGTCTGAGCACCCGGACAATATCACAGCACACACACACACATCAAGTGACTTGTGTGGTGCAGTTCGTTTGACATTGACAAGAAATAAGATTAGAATGATAATGAAATAGAGAGCTCTGTCCAGTCCACCTCTCAGATCATGATCTATAGAATGTACCACTGTACTAACATTAGCTTATTTCAAATATCGTTACTTATTTATTCGTTTGCTTATCCATTTTAGTACATTATAAATCTAGTACTATTTGAATTCAATTACATTCTACATGAGATTCCATGTGAATGGAATATTCAATTGAGTGGAGGAAGTGATGAACAACGATGTCCTGTAAGTTGGTTAACTTATAATGAATTAAAGAAACGTAATTATACGACAAATTTCAAACAACCAAAACTTATTCATATTAATCATCATATAAAACCAGATGATGTAAAAGTGAATGATACACCGACTGAGTACATTGATCAATCTGATATCATTCTTAAACGTAAGTTAATCTGTTATTAAATGTTATGCAACTGATAACATACAATTCTCATGCTGCCTTCATATTAGAATTGATAGATATCAAATTTTAAATATGAGACGTACAATTAAACAAGACACCCGAACTGTAATGTTTCAACCTCCAAACGTACATTCCCTTAACAGTGATGTTTACGACTAAGAATAATCAGTCTCTTACTGACATATTATATGCATCCTGTTAGGATTATTTCGATATTGTGTTAATTCACAATCATTCTAAGCAAAGATGAATGGTACCTAGCATTGGAATCTACCAAGCGAGTTTCGTCGAATTTAGGACTCATCAGCAAGATATACTTACATCCTAGATTTGATGTTCAAACTCCCTGTTTTTCACTTCAGACGTCATCGCGTTTTCTACTTATCTACTGAGTCGAGCTAGCAATTAACTCATGAAATGGGATAAATTTCAATCGACTTTGTATTGGTTATTTGAATCTTCCCATTGATGATATGACCAATAGCAGCTTTCTCCTTATAAGTCCCAAATAGGACTCGTTGTTAGATAGTCATGTTTTTCTCGTCTAAATAAACTATGTGTATACTTTGAAGCAGTAGATCACATTATTATAAAGCATTAGCTTCACCTACCATGTTATCACTCCCTACAATTGCGTATTCATGTTTATTCTCTATTGATTTGTAATTTCATTTGTAGAAAATGAACTATATGATAAATTCGTATCAGTATACCGTCAATATACTCGATTACATGAATCATGTTTCCAATAGATTCAATTCAAGAACCAATCAATTTGATGTTGATCATCTTCCGCATCATGTAATTTTTGTACTATTCCATGTTCTCAATCAATAGAATTGTTTATATTTTATTTTATTCGAAGACTATTTCTATGGAATTGTGTGTATCTACTAAGTTGATGAAATATGGTCGTTGAATGGGATGATTGTGGAAAGTAGGTGGAGCTAAGTGAATAAGAACATGGTGAAAGAAAATAAGATTTTGTCATTAGTTGAACAACCAATTGAATGGAATTTGTCACTGAATCAACTTCCTTGATAATGAAAACGCATTTGATAGTATGCATAGAAGAAAGATATGAAACCCTCATCAACATAATTGTGTAACTGAGAAGATTGTCAGCGCCATGCGAAATACATACAATGGATTACACTGCAGAGTGGTGCATGAAGGACAGCTGACAGACGCATTTCAAGTGAGGATCGGAGTCAGACAAGGCAGTTTACTCTCGCCATTCCTCTCTCTTCCGGTGGTCAACCAGATTATGTAAACCTCCATATCTCAAGGAAACACAGTATGCAATGGACAGCTCTGAGTCAATTAGAAGATTTGCACTTTGCAGATGATCTGCAATTAATAACTCATACACATGAACAAATGCAGATCAAAACAAATGGTGTAGCTTCAGCCTATCAATCAGTAGGACTCAACATACACATGGGTAGAAGCAACATCCTTAAATACAACACAAAGAACACCAACGCAGTCACACTTGATGAAGAGTCTGTGGAAGGGGAATGGGAACATTCACGTTTCTGGGTAGCGTCATGGAAGAGGATGAACAAGGAGGATGTGATGCAGACTTACAGGCGACGATTGGCAAAACAGGAACAGCATTCCTACAGCTGAACAAAAACACATTCAAGTCAAAACCACTGTCAACCAACATCAAAGTGAGAATGTTCAATACGAACATCAAGACAGTTAGTTCTATTGTATGGAGCTGAGACTTCCAGAACTAGCACAACCATCATCAAAAAAGTTCCAGTATTGGTAGCAGTTGTCTATATAAGATGCTCAACGTCCGTTGGCTGGATACCATCAGTAACAGTCTATAATGCGGGAGGACAAAGCAGCTTTCACCTAGGGAAGAAATAAGGAATAGACGCTGGTAGTAGATAGAACACACACTGAGGAAATACTCAAACTGCATCTCGAGGCAACAGCTAACCTGGAATCCTGGCCAAAAGTATCATTTAGAAATAAGTGCATCAGAATGAAGACAGTGATTTTAGGGTTTCTGCGTAAAATTCTAATCTCATGTATGACCAGCAGTAAACATACCATACCATACCACACCATACTCAAAAAGTTTAACATATTAGCGGAGATCCAATTTTTTACTATGGAGGAAACCTGATAACGTTGAGTGCATTTAATGTTTAATTCTGTCATTTTCGATTGCATATAACGAACAGATGCTTCCTATAAATCCCAACTCTAAACCTATAATCTTTACAGTAAATACCAAATTTTAACTGGCAAAAATGTAGGCCATTTTAAGCATTCAAGAAGATGAATAATCAATATCCATATCCACGAACTTATATCTCGCTGTTTGTTCACTGTACAAGTAGAGTAAACTGTGGAAGGCATTAATTGTTTTATTAGATACTTAGAATTGGGTCACACTGAGGTGTACGCTGGCTACTTATGATGACAGATATAAAAAGTACGTAATACTGATCAGAAGTGGAATGTCTAGCAGCAGAAGATTGCAAAGATTGGTTTGAAGAGAAAACGAATGTAAAGGGAAAGAAATTACAGTGGAATTAGAATGGGAAGCGTTGAGTCTGTCGAAGCGCCTTAGTCATCTGGCTGAGTTACACGCAAAATCGAAGTTCACAAAACAACGGTTTGTCTAAAACAGCGGTTTTTTATTGAATAATATATGAAATTAGTTACAAACATGAAGTTGTGAGGTGTGTGCGACGTTTACTACAATATTTGTCTGAAATAAAAAGGGCTTCGTGTAATAGTAACACAAAGAATAATTACAACATACCATAGAGCAAACGACAGCTATTAGTTGTGTCTAACTAAACTTGGTAACAGTTCATCAACAAGCAAAACCCAACCATGAGCGTGCAATATGAAAAGCGTTGCATTTAAACAAGAAGTAAACAATTAAACAAAATTGTGGATAACTACTACAATAATTGAGGTGAAGTAATTATAACGGTAAATACAATAAATCTTATAGGTAGATGTAAATATTTCCGAATATTACACGACAAACTTGCCTGACAACATAAGCTTAGAAATTGCTAGTAATACAACTATTTACTGAATATTAATAGGAAGTAGTACTAGTAGTAGTAGTAGTAGTAGTAGTAGTACATCAATACACAAAAGAGTGAAAGGGAAGTGAATAAGGACAGAGAATGTAAAACACTTAACTGGAAGTATCATGTAAACGATATGTAAAAGATAATTGAATACAGATGTGCAAATGATGTATTTAATGTATGATTTTTGTATTTTATGAAACTACTCTACTACAATTTCCATTCCGACTGTTTTTCAATTGCCTCAGTTGTCTAATTCAATTATGGTTGAATGGTGTTATTGTAGGCCCAGCTGATTTGACTCCGATCTGGCTGAATGTATGAGGACATACATATGGACATACATTTTCCATTTAAATCTGTATGTTGCCTAGGCTAACACCATTTGTGTGACGCCAGTAATAAGAAGCTACATACGCGCTGCACAGGGAGGACTAATTCAAGCTCTCGTTTATCCATACAGATATGCAGAATAAGAAGCAGGTAAGTGAAGCGGAGAAAGAGACAGGTCGATTTGATCAAGAATGTTTTGATATTTATAGTTAGACAAAAATAAGTTACAGACATATGATGAGTAGGCTGAGCTATGCACACATGTACGCTCATATATGCTAGAATTCAGGAATCTTGTTTTCAGTAGATCTAATTCAACAAATACTCGACTTGATATTGTCATCCATACGAATGTATATATATATATATATATTTATAGGTAGTTCATTTATTTTGTATCATCTTAGTCGTTTAACGCCTACATTGTTTCTATGTGAATATATTTCACAGAAAATTTATTTATGAAGACAAGTGATAATCTAATAGCATTTATATTGAGTGTGGTCACATTCTTCCGTAAATTACAATCTATTGATTATGAAAGTAAAATGATCTCTGTATATGATCATCAATATGGACTGATAAACAACCATAGAGCCTGATAATGAACTTATTGAAAACAATTTCTCTTTTAAATATTCTTCTTGTTTTGTTTTATATTAGAATTAGTACAACATAATAGTGAATTAATTTATTGATGTATTAGAGCAATACATTGGCACTTGGTAAATATGACAACCATCAATTTCAATAGTAACTAACACCTAATTCTATTCTCATAATTAATCGACTGTACCTTATGGAAGAATGTGACCCCGCAAATGTGTCATTGACCTGTATACTGTTGAAGCCAATTTTCATACAGAGAGAATAGATAAAATTGTGTGATATTGGATAACTGACTTGTATGAATTCTACTTTCATTTGGTTCAATGTTTCTACTTTATGATTAGTCGTGTTCATTATTATAGTTTTCTAAGAAAGTTTATCTGTTGTTAAAACATCGTTGTCCTAAATGTAAAATGATTAGTACCTGATGAAAAATGGAATGTGAATGAGAGGGTTATAAGAGTTTGTTGAAATCCGTAACTGGATATAAATGTATTTCACTCCACTGATGAAATATAAATGTTCATTCACTTCTTATACATCATTTCCTCCGCTTGAACATGGTTTATTCTCTCCCACTGTAGGTTGTTGCTGGCCAACGGATCCGAAGTATTTTACATAGACAATTGCTAATAAACATTTGTATCTTCTGGATGATGGCTTTCGTAGTTGCTACACTGTTCTTCTTCTCTTGCACTTGTTATGGTGAAATAAGATCACAGGATAGACAGACATCATCCTCCATTGCGAAACATTTGATTGAGACGGGTTATAAGATTGACATCAAATCAGCATTTGTAGTGTTATACAAAAGCCTTGAAGGACTTATATACGGGTTTATTGAGACCTCAAGTATACGGAATGTGAAACCCTTTTTATGTGTTCAAAAACAATTTGTACTTACACTGAACCTATCCTCGTAATACTGATTTATTATCCACAGTGGTAAACACATTTGTGTATTTTTGTGTACTTTAATAATTTTTGCTTTGTTATGACTTACCCATAACCTGTCTAGTTGACCTTTTAGTTATACTTCTTTTCATAAATATGAAGAAAATTGTTGATTATAGTAATTGATAGTCTTTGACGTTATATACATAATTCATTACCTTATAAATCTATAATATCATAACGGTTACTTATTATATGTTATATGTTTCTGGTTCTGCGTTGTAACTCATTGACTGTTGACTACTAACTAACTAACTAACTAACTAACTAATTATCTAACTGATTGATTGACCGATTGACTGACTGACTGACTCACCGATATGTATTTTAGATTCTTAACCAATTTCACATTAGAATAAAAAGTACTTTTCAACTATTGAAAATATTCATCAATCTTTTACTGTGATTTCTAACCAATCAAACAAATTCTAATAAGATATACATCACTTGATATACCATTGGTTAACATGTTACACTTGAGATGTCTATTATAGGTAATCTCATATATATATATATATATATATATAATGAATGGATCCATATAGGTGTATATATGGATATATAATTGATAACTCTATCAGTACTTCTTACGTAACACATTTCAATTTTTCTTTCGCTAAATATATTTTCAGATTGTTTTAAACAAATAAAAGAAAAAAGTTTCTCAAATGATTCATATTTTTAATGTATATCAATTGAATAATAAAATTTTATTTTCATCATTAATTATTACGACGTTAATAACATGGAATATATTCTATGTGATTATTCCTAATACTACTTATTGGATAGATCCATTGATGGTAGACACTTCCTTGGTAAGTTTAATTCATTATAGTAAAGTGATAGTTTGGTATAGTATTTTGTTCAGCATTTGATTATATTGATAATTATACCGCTTCATTGGTCTACAGAGAGAGAGAGAGAGAGACAGAGAGATTAAGAGTTTATCCCTTAGAGATCGAAAGTGAATGATTTTAAGTTCCAAGTGAATGATCATCAATGTACTATTGAGAAATCTTCTACTAGAATGAAACGGTCATTTAGTGCTTCAAGGTTCTTCAACCAGTTCTAGATTTTATTAAGTTCAACTATTAAAAATTATAAAATCAATCGTTCATAACAATAGATTTGTTTGAAGATTATTCATTCAAAGCGTTTGTAATGAAATGTAAACTGTTTATGATACGATAGTACAACGATTGTACTCAATTGATTACCCTTTGTATATGCCTATCATTTAAACTAATACACAACGATTACTACTGTATGACTTCAGTAAAAGTATCACTTCATATTGAAGCTTTGTTTATAAAGGTTGATTCACTAACCCTCGGGTACATCAATATTCATGCGAATAAAATACCTTTCAGTTGTGTTGATACAGTTATGGTTTCTTTGTTTACGGAAATCAGCCTTATCATGTAATAATATCGAACAGATTTATAAAAAGCTGCATTGTTTACCACAATCAGCTAATTACTCGATCTGCAAAACAGAACATTTGTTTTACTCAATATGTATTCTCTAAACATAACCTTCAAGAAGCCTTTTAAGCAAATTTGTGAAATGGCTAGCAGTTGAATTTAGAACCTATTTGAAACTTGTCAACTGGATGTACCTTCAACAAGATACTGATCAAATACAGTCGTACATAACCATGTGTAGTTACAAGTAAAACAACACCAAATGAATATAATCTTCAACAAAAATAATGACATTCTCTGATTATCTCTTCAATGTGTCACCGAAAATTTCATTTTGATTTGTTATTTCAATTTGAGTATTCAGCGGGATGGATGGTGGGTGTGGAATCACTGTAATTATTAATACAAAATGTATTCACCAACTACTTAAATAGCTTCATCAGTGTAATGTCTTTTGCTGTTTTAGGAAAACAAAATTCACATTGTCATCATATTTGATGGTGATCAAGGTCTACAATATCTGAATAGTCTTCTTAAATCTATTTTCTATTATCAAAATGGAAGATTTCGATGTGATTTAAAAGCTTGTTGTCTATCAAACTTTTGCGATCGTTTCATCGATGATTGTCATACTGTTATGAACAGTGGGTCGACAACATATACAACTGTATTTCATTTCTTAATAACGACGATTTCATCAAATAGTCAGTTGTTGAATTTGATGAATACATGGAAATTACATAATATGGAATATCATTTTTATAGTTGTAGTGATTATTTGGTAAGTGTTCACATGCATTATAACTAACTGTGTTACGTCACTGTTCCTATAATGTAATAAGAGTTTTGTGGAGATAGGAATTTTTTATAGTTCAAATCACGAACTGATATTAGTTGGACAATGATTGAAAAGTTGATGGTTATCGACAGACATCTTGTCTTGATACAGCATTTCATAGCCTCAACCCAAGTGTTGGATCCAACACCTGCGATCTCGCACATGAATGCCTAACCTGTAGTCCGATAGATGGTGATTTCACAGTATTCTAGTTTGACTGAAGTTAGCATGAACATATTTGGACGTCCACTTAGTAGTTTAGAGGTCAAGCGTTCTCTCTCGAGATCCAAGTTCGTGCGTCGGATTTCGGATACGGTGTTGCGATGCACACTGCTGGAATTCCATACTTGGATGAAACAACGGTCCAGTACTTCCAAGTTTTCAATGGTTTTCGATCTTAGATTGGCTTGTGATTTCAATGTATTATGGTATTTAACTTGACTATGTGTGATTATTTGCAGGTAAATCTTCGCTGGATTAAGTCTAAACATCCCTCAGGCGCTAAACCATTTTTAAAATTGATGATTCCAACAATTCTTCCATCTACAATCAGTAAAGTAAGTCATAGTTGTGCTCCTTTTCTCAGTAAGTTTCATCGTATTTTTCATCAAATAATTCTGTATAAATTGACCTCAATATTTACGTGTTTGATTCGCGATTTCGTATGAAGAAAACAAGTTAGTGTCAGTGTTCAGTAAGTGATTCTTATTCTACTACCACCTTGATAAGTATATAGTCAAGTTGAAGGACTGCATTCTCCAAGGAATTACGAAACGTGAGCACAGATAATAATGTAATACAAAAAAGCATAATAATAAATTATATAATGGAAATAATAACCGTACAAAACAGTGGAAGTGATCTTAAGGAGAATGTTTTCGAACACTGATTGAATGTGAATAAATGAGTCTAACTAAGAAGAATCGAAAAGTAGTCGGTATATATCATGTTTCTTAGTTTTCATTATTCCTTAACTGTGATCAATCTATGATGTGAATTACATGCAAATTCAATCATTCATCTAAATCAGAAAGTAATAAAGTATGACTAATATCAATTGTAATACAAATACAATTACAGACTACTTCTGTTTGATTATTCTTATGAAATATCAAAGATATTTGTTGTTGAAAGTGCTATAAAAGTGAGAACGTTTGACAATTTTCGAAACTAGAGTCGATAATAAATGCATGTCCAAGTTAAAGTCAAAGTAGATAAAAGTGGGATAAATGGATATGAAAAAATTATCAATATCATGTGATATTTTTGATGCCTATAGCTTCTACGTTATGTAAGAGATGGGATCGAACCCCCCTCGAAAGTCAAGTTAGTATACAATGGAACACGGCCAAATGCCCATTGACAATATTTAGCATGTTTATATCAGGATTCATTCATTTCAACTGCATATAATGAAATTATAACTGGAAGATGAGTAAACAAACCTGGACTTATTATTGACTATATTAAAACGATGATATTGTTACGGGAGTATATGATTAATCGGTAATTTGTTTCCACATTGTTGTACCTTTCCCTTTTTAGGTAATTGTACTAGATATTGATATACTACTTAATACAGATATTATTGAATTATGGAATCATTTTGAGTATTTTAAGGAAACTCAGGTTTGTTTTCTAATCATTATTGTTCATATTATTATTGATTGAAACATTATTGATATTCAAAGTAAAAACAAACATAAAATAATTTGTAATGGATTACCTACCATATGATTGATATCAAAGTGTAGAGTTTCAGTTGAATTGAATCTATAGTTTATGTAACTTACTTGATAAATACAGAGAAATCTATATGACTGATTGTTCATGACATTGTTCCCATTGAACTATGAACTCACAATAATCCAAATATGATTATTCTTATCTCAATTGAATGAATATGAATGGAATGATTTCATCATGAATTATTCAAAGATCCAACAGTATGGATTGTGAATACTCACACTATTTTCTTTTTCTTTTTTTTAATGAAACATTTAATCAAGACAGTCATTTATGTCATGATTTTTTAAATCTGACTAACAGAGTCATCTAGTTGATTGATGGATGAGTTTTACGTAATAAATCGTTAAGAGAAGTAAGAATAGTACATAATAGCCTTATTTGCAAAGATAGTCAAAACAATTGAGATAGTTTCGGTCAAATGTTTGTATATTCAGAAAGGAACATATCTTCAAACAGATATAGATTCTTGTAATTAACATACGATGAGTGAGATATGTGATAACAAATAGTTATGTGGAATTTAGTGTGTGTGTGTGTGTGTGATAGACACAATGTGAAAATGAGAAGGAAGAACACGGAAATATGGAATTCGTTGAATGAGAGCCCAGTGATTTAGCAGTTATTATTATTATTATTACGGATTTTATTATTAACGGCTTCATTCAATATTATGTTTGTGGTACAATAAGGAATTGTCAACACACTGTATTTCAACAAGTTTCCGTTTCTTACTTCTTGGATGATCCGGAACATGAATACTGAGTGATCGACAGTTAAAAGTTAACAGTTCAGTCAATCGACATCTAAATAATAATGTACATTCATTTTGGATATACCGATGATATACGAAGTTCAGTTACGAAGTAATCAAGAAAATCAGGGAAAACACATGATCATAAACAATTAGAATACAATGCCACCTCAGGTCACCATTCACTGTTGAGGTTATTCAATACACATGTTTATACACATGTTTTGTGATTACCAAGATTTGTTGAATATAACTAGGTTGACACGGCATGGTTTGATATAATCAAGTGTCAAGCATGTACAAACTGCATCAATCCTCAGTCAGTCAGTTAGCTACGACGTAGCATCAGGCACAAATATATCTATATATAAATATATCGGTCCAAGTTGTCATACCTCATTAACACAGAAAGATGAACACCGGACTCACAGTAGTTAATTCAGTGGTGGTAGAACATAAAAGAATGATATAGTACAGGAAGAAAGAAACATATGAAGCAATTTTAATCTCATATTTTAACGGGAGATATAAAGTGTATACACCCACGTCATTGTGATCAATTCTGAACCATGTCACACAGAGTGTCCAAACATTGGTTTCGATAGTCACGCGCAACACAACCAAGTAGTCTGCATCTATCAACATGGCTAATGCTAAATGTTAGTGATTTCGAGGTCTGATGCCACGTTTTGGTTTGGCAGCCTCTAACTTTCTTCCAGCCATCCCCAACCACATCATTCCTACTGTAGAACATAATACTATGGTAATGAAGTGAAGAGTTAATAGTCAAATGAACGGGTGTTGAATGATGTAACTAATTCATTATGTTGAAGTTGGGATACCTATTACCTATTAAGTTGAATGCTGAATGTGTCAGGCAATGAATCAGCTAATAAAGCCAGAAATATCATTGATAATTTGATTGCAGCTCAACCGTGTGAAATAAATCTCTGAAATGCATGTTTAATTTTGACATTTAGTCATTGGTCAGTATTCCTGACCATAATCCTTGTCAGTGTTCTACATCCTTCAATAATTTCACAGTTGATTTCAACTTGGGACTGAATTTTCAACTTTAACTAGACAATGTTTTATGTGTATCAAGTTCACAATGTTATTGTAAAATTTACTGAAGGATATTTTCTGATGATCGTTTCAAATGTATACTTCTGACCGTTTACAAATCTTCATGTGTTTTTTCAAAGAGCATAGGTATTGGATTAGAGCAAAATCCATATTTTCAAGAAGTTATGACTAGGTTAGAAAGTAATTGGAAAGTAAGTTGAAACATTATGATACATCACATTACAATTGCAATGATTTACACTTTTGTATGCCATTGTCTTTTTCAAGAACAAAACCCTGATTCCATATCAGTGATGCACATGGGCTCCAGGATTTTGAGTGAACAAATGGCGTATGAACCGATTGTTGGTCAGTGGCTATCATGAGATTGCATATGCAGACGTTACTCCACTACCTTGTGGATCAGACATATAGGTCGAAGGCTCTGGGTATTGTCTCGTAAGAAAATCACCTGCTCCAGTCTGAGCACCCGGACAATATCACAGCACACACACACACATCAAGTGACTTGTGTGGTGCAGTTCGTTTGACATTGACAAGAAATAAGATTAGAATGATAATGAAATAGAGAGCTCTGTCCAGTCCACCTCTCAGATCATGATCTATAGAATGTACCACTGTACTAACATTAGCTTATTTCAAATATCGTTACTTATTTATTCGTTTGCTTATCCATTTTAGTACATTATAAATCTAGTACTATTTGAATTCAATTACATTCTACATGAGATTCCATGTGAATGGAATATTCAATTGAGTGGAGGAAGTGATGAACAACGATGTCCTGTAAGTTGGTTAACTTATAATGAATTAAAGAAACGTAATTATACGACAAATTTCAAACAACCAAAACTTATTCATATTAATCATCATATAAAACCAGATGATGTAAAAGTGAATGATACACCGACTGAGTACATTGATCAATCTGATATCATTCTTAAACGTAAGTTAATCTGTTATTAAATGTTATGCAACTGATAACATACAATTCTCATGCTGCCTTCATATTAGAATTGATAGATATCAAATTTTAAATATGAGACGTACAATTAAACAAGACACCCGAACTGTAATGTTTCAACCTCCAAACGTACATTCCCTTAACAGTGATGTTTACGACTAAGAATAATCAGTCTCTTACTGACATATTATATGCATCCTGTTAGGATTATTTCGATATTGTGTTAATTCACAATCATTCTAAGCAAAGATGAATGGTACCTAGCATTGGAATCTACCAAGCGAGTTTCGTCGAATTTAGGACTCATCAGCAAGATATACTTACATCCTAGATTTGATGTTCAAACTCCCTGTTTTTCACTTCAGACGTCATCGCGTTTTCTACTTATCTACTGAGTCGAGCTAGCAATTAACTCATGAAATGGGATAAATTTCAATCGACTTTGTATTGGTTATTTGAATCTTCCCATTGATGATATGACCAATAGCAGCTTTCTCCTTATAAGTCCCAAATAGGACTCGTTGTTAGATAGTCATGTTTTTCTCGTCTAAATAAACTATGTGTATACTTTGAAGCAGTAGATCACATTATTATAAAGCATTAGCTTCACCTACCATGTTATCACTCCCTACAATTGCGTATTCATGTTTATTCTCTATTGATTTGTAATTTCATTTGTAGAAAATGAACTATATGATAAATTCGTATCAGTATACCGTCAATATACTCGATTACATGAATCATGTTTCCAATAGATTCAATTCAAGAACCAATCAATTTGATGTTGATCATCTTCCGCATCATGTAATTTTTGTACTATTCCATGTTCTCAATCAATAGAATTGTTTATATTTTATTTTATTCGAAGACTATTTCTATGGAATTGTGTGTATCTACTAAGTTGATGAAATATGGTCGTTGAATGGGATGATTGTGGAAAGTAGGTGGAGCTAAGTGAATAAGAACATGGTGAAAGAAAATAAGATTTTGTCATTAGTTGAACAACCAATTGAATGGAATTTGTCACTGAATCAACTTCCTTGATAATGAAAACGCATTTGATAGTATGCATAGAAGAAAGATATGAAACCCTCATCAACATAATTGTGTAACTGAGAAGATTGTCAGCGCCATGCGAAATACATACAATGGATTACACTGCAGAGTGGTGCATGAAGGACAGCTGACAGACGCATTTCAAGTGAGGATCGGAGTCAGACAAGGCAGTTTACTCTCGCCATTCCTCTCTCTTCCGGTGGTCACCCAGATTATGTAAACCTCCATATCTCAAGGAAACACCGTATGCAATGGACAGCTCTGAGTCAATTAGAAGATTTGCACTTTGCAGATCATCTGCAATTAAGAAATCATACACATGAACAAATGCAGATCAAAACAAATGGTGTAGCTTCAGCCTATCAATCAGTAGGACTCAACATACGCATGGGTAGAAGCAACATCCTTAAATACAACACAAAGAACACCAACGCAGTCACACTTGATGAAGAGTCTGTGGAAGGGGAATGGGAACATTCACGTTTCTGGGTAGCGTCATGGAAGAGGATGAACAAGGAGGATGTGAGGCAGACTTACAGGCGACGATTGGCAAAACAGGAACAGCATTACGACAGCTGAACAAAAACACATTCAAGTCAAAACCACTGTCAACCAACATCAAAGTGAGAATGTTCAATACGAACATCAAGACAGTTAGTTCTATTGTATGGAGCTGAGACTTCCAGAACTAGCACAACCATCATCAAAAAAGTTCCAGTATTGGTAGCAGTTGTCTATATAAGATGCTCAACGTCCGTTGGCTGGATACCATCAGTAACAGTCTATAATGCGGGAGGACAAAGCAGCTTTCACCTAGGGAAGAAATAAGGAATAGACGCTGGTAGTAGATAGAACACACACTGAGGAAATACTCAAACTGCATCTCGAGGCAACAGCTAACCTGGAATCCTGGCAAAACGTATCATCTAGATGTAAGTGCGTCATAATTAAGACAGTGATTTTAGGGTTTCTGCGTAAAATTCTACTCTCAAGTGTGACCAACAGTAAACATACCATACCATACCACACCATACTCAAAAAGTTTAACATATTAGCGGAGATCCCATTTTTTACTATGGAGGAAACCTGATAACGTTGAGTGCATTTAATGTTTAATTCTGTCATTTTCGATTGCATATAACGAACAGATGCTTCCTATAAATCCCAACTCTAAACCTATAATCTTTACAGTAAATACCAAATTTTAACTGGCAAAAATGTAGGCCATTTTAAGCATTCAAGAAGATGAATAATCAATATCCATATCCACGAACTTATATCTCGCTGTTTGTTCACTGTACAAGTAGAGTAAACTGTGGAAGGCAGTAATTGTTTTATTAGATACTTAGAATTGGGTCACACTGAGGTGTACGCTAGCTACTTATGATGACAGATATAAAAAGTACGTAATACTGATCAGAAGTGGAATGTCTAGCAGCAGAAGATTGCAAAGATTGGTTTGAAGAGAAAACGAATGTAAAGGAAAGAAATTACAGTAGTATTAGAATGGGAAGCGTTGAGTCTGTCGAAGCGCCTTAGTCATAGGGCTGAGTTACACGCAAAATCGAAGTTCACAAAACAACGGTTTGTCTAAAACAGCGGTTTTTTATTGAATAATATATGAAATTAGTTACAAACATGAAGTTGTGAGGTGTGTGCGACGTTTACTACAATATTTGTCTGAAATAAAAAGGGCTTCGTGTAATAGTAACACAAAGAATAATTACAACATAACATAGAGCAAACGACAGCTATAGTTTGTGTCTAACTAAACTTGGTAACAGTTCATCAACAAGCAAAACCCAACCATGAGCGTGCAATATGAAAAGCGTTGCATTTAAACAAGAAGTAAACAATTAAACAAAATTGTGGATAACTACTACAATAATTGAGGTGAAGTAATTATAACGGTAAATACAATAAATCTTATAGGTAGATGTAAATATTTCCGAATATTACACGACAAACTTGCCTGACAACATAAGCTTAGAAATTGCTAGGAATACAACTATTTACTGAATATTAATAGGAAGTAGTATAGTAGTAGTAGTAGTAATAGTAGTTCAGCAATACCGAAAAAAGTGAAAAGGAAGTGAATAAGGACAGAGAATGTAAAAAACACTTAACTGGAAGTATCATGTAAACGATATGTAAAAGACAATTGAATACAGTTGTGCAAATGATGTATTTAATGTATGATTTTTGTATTTTATGAAACTACACTACTACAATTTCCATTCCGACTGTTTTTCAATTGACTCGGTTGTCTAATTCAATTATGGTTGAATGGTGTTATTGTAGGCCCAGCTGATTTGACTCCGATCTGGCTGAGTGTATGAGGACATACATATGGACATACATTTTACATTTAAATCTGTATGTTGCCTAGGCTAACACCATTTGTGTGACGCCAGTAATAAGAAGCTACATACGCGCTGCACAGGAAGGGCTTAATTCAAGCTCTTGATTATCCATACAGATATGCAGAATAAGAAGCAGGTAAGTGAAGCGGGAAAAGAGACAGGTCGATTTGATCAAGAATGTTTTGATATTTATAGTTAGACAAAAATAAGTTACAGACATATGATGAGTAGGCTGAGCTATGCACACATGTACGCTCATATATGCTAGAATTCAGGAATCTTGTTTTTAGTAGATCTAATTCAACAAATACTCGACTTGATATTGTCATCCATACGAAGGTATATATATATATATATATATATTTATAGGTAGTTCATTTATTTTGTATCATCTTAGTCGTTTAACGCCTACATTGTTTCTATGTGAATATATTTCACAGAAAATTTATTTATGAAGACAAGTGATAATCTAATAGCATTTATATTGAGTGTGGTCACATTCTTCCGTAAATTACAATCTATTGATTATGAAAGTAAAATGATCTCTGTATATGATCATCAATATGGACTGATAAACAACCATAGAGCCTGATAATGAACTTATTGAAAACAATTTCTCTTTTAAATATTCTTCTTGTTTTGTTTTATATTAGAATTAGTACAACATAATAGTGAATTAGTTTATTGATGAATTAGAGCAATACATTGGCACTTGGTAAATATGACAACCATCAATTTTAATAGTAACTAACACCTAATTCTATTTTCATAATTAATCGACTGTACCTTATGGAAGAATGTGACCCTGCAAATGTGTCATTGACGTGTATACTGTTGAATCCAATTTTCATACAGAGAGAATAGATAAAATTGTGTGATATTGGATAACTGACTTGTATGAATTCTACTTTCATTTGGTTCAATGTTTGTACTTTATGATTAGTCGTGTTCATTATTATAGTTTTCTAAGAAAGTTTATCTGTTGTTAAAACATCGTTGTCCTAAATGTAAAATGATTAGTACCTGATGAAAAATGGATTGTGAGGGAGAGGGTTATAAGAGTTTGTTGAAATCCGTAACTGGATATAAATGTAATTCACTCCACTGATGAAATATAAATGTTCATTCACTTCTTATACATCATTTCCTCCGCTTGAACATGGTTTATACTCTCCCACTGTAGGTTGTTGCTGGCCAACGGATCCGAAGTATTTTACATAGACAATTGCTAATACACATTTGTATCTTCTGGATGATGGCTTTCGTAGTTGCTACACTGTTCTTCATCTCTTGCACTTGTTATGGTGAAATAAGATCACAGGATAGACAGACATCATCCTCCATTGCGAGACATTTGATTGAGACGGGTTATAAGATTGACATCAAATCAGCATTTGTAGTGTTATACAAAAGCCTTGAAGGACTTATATACCGGTTTATTGAGACCTCAAGTATACGGAATGTGAAACCTTTTTTATGTGTTCAAAAACAATTTGTACTTACACTGAACCTATCCTCGTAATACTGATTTATTATCCACAGTGGTAAACACATTTGTGTATTTTTGTGTACTTTAATAATTTTTGCTTTTGTTTGACTTACCCAAAACCTGTCTAGTTGACCTTTTAGTTATACTTCATTTCATAAATATGAAGAAAATTGTTGATTATAGTAATTGATAGTCTTTGACGTTATATACATAATTCATTACCTTATAAATCTATAATATCATAACGGTTACTTATTATATGTTATATGTTTCTGGTTCTGCGTTGTAACTCATTGACTGTTGACTACTAACTAACTAACTAACTAACTAACTAATTATATAACTGATTGATTGAACGATTGACTGACTGACTGACTCACCGATATGTATTTTAGATTCATAAACCAATTTCACATTAGAATAAAAAGTACTTTTCAACTATTGAAAATATTCATCAATCTTTTACTGTGATTTCTAACCAATCAAACAAATTCTAATAAGATATACATAACTTGATATACCATTGGTTAACATGTTACACTTGAGATGTCTATTATAGGTATTCTCATATATATATATATATATATATATATAATGAATGGATCCATATAGGTGTATATATGGATATATAATTGATAACTCTATCAGTACTTCTTACGTAACACATTTCAATTTTTCTTTCGCTAAATATATTTTCAAATTGTTTTAAACAAATAAAAGAAAAACGTTTCTCAAATGATTCATATTTTTAATGTATATCAATTGAATAATAAAATTTTATTTACATCATTAATTATTACGACGTTAATAACATGGAATATATTCTATGTGATTATTACTAATACTACTTATTGGATAGATCCATTGATAGTAGACACTTCCTTAGTAAGTTTAATTCATTATAGTAAAGTGATAGTTTGGTATAGTATTTTGTTCAGCATTTGATTATAATGATAATTATACCGCTTCATTGGTCTACAAAGAGAGAGAGAGAGACAGAGAGATTAAGAGTTTATCCCTTAGAGATCGAAAGTGAATGATTTTAAGATCCAAGTGAATGATCATCAATGTACTATTGAGAAATCTTCTACTAAAATGAAACGGTCAATTAGTGCTTCAAGGTTCTTCAACCAATTCTAGATTTTATTAAGTTCAACTATTAAAAATTATAAAATCAATCGTTCATAACAATAGATTTGATTGAAGATTATTCATTCAAAGCGTTTGTAATGAAATGTAAACTGTTTATGATACGACAGTACAACGATTGTACTCAATTGATTACCCTTTGTATATGCCTATCATTTAAACTAATACACAACGATTACTACTGTATGACTTCAGTAAATGTATCACTTCATATTGAAGCTTTGTTTAAGAAGGTTGATTCACTAACCCTCGGGTACATCAATATTCATGCGAATAAAATACCTTTCAGTTGTGTTGATACAGTTATGGTTTCTTTGTTTACGGAAATCAGCCTTATCATGTAATAATATCGAACAGATTTATAAAAAGCTGCATTGTTTACCACAATCAGCTAATGACTCGATCTGCAAAACAGAACATTTGTTTTACTCAATATGTATTCTCTAAACATAATCTTCAAGAAGCTTTTTAAGCAAATTTGTGAAATGGCTAGCAGTTGAATTTAGAACCTATTTGAAACTTGTCAACTGGATGTACCTTCAACAAGATACTGATCAAATACAGTCGTACATAACCATGTGTAGTTACAAGTAAAACAACACCAAATGAATATAATCTTCAACAAAAATAATGACATTCTCTGATTATCTCTTCAATGTGTCACCGAAAATTTCAATTTGATTTGTTATTTCAATTTGAGTATTCAGCGGGATGGATGGTGGGTGTGGAATCACTGTAATTATTAATACAAAATGTATTCACCAACTACTTAAATAGCTTCATCAGTGTAATGTCTTTTGCTGTTTTAGGAAAACAAAATTCACATTGTCATCATATTTGATGGTGATCAAGGTCTACAATATCTGAATAGTCTTCTTAAATCTATTTTCTATTATCAAAATGGAAGATTTCGATGTGATTTAAAAGCTTGTTGTCTATCAAACTTTTGCGATCGTTTCATCGATGATTGTCATACTGTAATGAACAGTGGGTCGACAACATATACAACTGTATTTCATTTCTTAATAACGACGATTGCATCAAATAGTCAGTTGTTGAATTTGATGAATACATGGAAATTACATAATATGGAATATCATTTTTATAGTTGTAGTGATTATTTGGTAAGTGTTCACATGCATTATAACTAACTGTGTTACGTCACTGTTCCTATAATGTAATAAGAGTTTTGTGGAGATAGGAATTTTTTATAGTTCAAATCACGAACTGATATTAGTTGGACAATGATTGAAAAGTTGATGGTTATCGACAGACATCTTGTCTTGATACAGCATTTCATAGCCTCAACCCAAGTGTTGGATCCAACACCTGCGATCTCGCACATGAATGCCTAACCTGTAGTCCGATAGATGGTGATTTCACAGTATTCTAGTTTGACTGAAGTTAGCATGAACATATTTGGACGTCCACTTAGTAGTTTAGAGGTCAAGCGTTCTCTCTCGAGATCCAAGTTCGTGCGTCGGATTTTGGATACGGTGTTGCAATGCACACTGCTGGAATTCCATACTTGGATGAAACAACGGTCCAGTACTTCCAAGTTTTCAATGGTTTTCGATCTTAGATTGGCTTGTGATTTCAATGTATTATGGTATTTAACTTGATTATGTGTGATTATTTGCAGGTAAATCTTCGCTGGATTAAGTCTAAACATCCTTCAGGCGCTAAACCATTTTTAAAATTGATGATTCCAACAATTCTTCCATCTACAATCAGTAAAGTAAGTCATAGTTGTGCTCCTTTTCTCAGTAAGTTTCATCGTATTTTTCATCAAATAATTCTGTATAAATTGACCTCAATATTTACGTGTTTGATTCGCGATTTCGTATGAAGAAAACAAGTTAGTGTCAGTGTTCAGTAAGTGATTCTTATTCTACTACCACCTTGATAAGTATATAGTCAAGTTGAAGGACTACATTCTCCGAGGAATTACGAAACGTGAGCACAGATAATAATGTAATACAAAAAAGCATAATACTAAATTATATAATGGAATTAATAACCGTACAAAACAGTGGAAGTGATCTTAAGGAGAATGTTTTCGAACACTGATTGAATGTGAATAAATGAGTCTAACTAAGAAGAATCGAAAAGTAGTCGGTATATATCATGTTTCTTAGTTTTCATTATTCCTTAACTGTGATCAATCTATGATGTGAATTATATGCAAATTCAATCATTCATCTAAATCAGAAAGTAATAACGTATGACTAATATCAATTGTAATACAAATACAATTACAGACTACTTCTGTTTGATTATTCTTATGAAATATCAAAGATATTTGTTGTTGAAAGTGCTATAAAAGTGAGGACGTTTGAGAATTTTCGAATCTAGAGTCGATAATAAATGCATGTCAAAGTTAAAATCAAAGTAGATGAAAGTGGGATAAATGGATATGAAAATATTATCAATATCATGTGATAATTTTGATGCCTATAGCTTCTACGTTATGTAAGAGATGGGATCGAACCCCCCTCGAAAGTCAAGTTAGTATAAAATGGAACACGGCCAAATGCCCATTGACAATATTTAGCATGTTTATCTCAGGATTCATTTATTTCAACTGCATATAATAAAATTATCACTGGAAGATGAGTAAACAAACCTGGACTTATTATTGACTATATTAAAACGATGATATTGTTACGGGAGTATATGATTAATCGGTAATTTGTTTCCACATTGTTGTACCTTTCCCTTTTTAGGTAATTGTACTAGATATTGATATACTACTTAATACAGATATTATTGAATTATGGAATCATTTTGAGTATTTTGAGGAAACTCAGGTTTGTTTTCTAATCATTATTGTTCATATTATTATTGATTGAAACATTATTGATATTCAAAGTAAAAACAAACATAAAATAATTTGTAATGGATTACCTACCATATGATTGATATCAAAGTGTAGAGTTTCAGTTGAATTGAATCTATAGTTTATGTAACTTACTTGATAAATACAGAGAAATCTATATGACTGATTGTTCATGACATTGTTCCCATTGAACTATGAACTCACAATAATCCAAATATGATTATTCTTATCTCAATTGAATGAATATGAATGGAATGATTTCATCATGAATTATTCAAAGATCCAACAGTATGGATTGTGAATACTCACACTATTTTCTTTTTCTTTTTTTAATGAAACATTTAATCAAGACAGTCATTTATGTCATGATTTTTTAAATCTGACTAACAGAGTCATCTAGTTGATTGATGGATGAGTTTTACGTAATAAATCGTTAAGAGAAGTAAGAATAGTACATAATAGCCTTATTTGCAAAGATAGTCAAAACAATTGAGATAGTTTCGGTCAAATGTTTGTATATTCAGAAAGGAACATATCTTCAAACAGATATAGATTCTTGTAATTAACATACGATGAGTGAGATATGTGATAACAAATAGTTATGTGGAATTTAGTGTGTGTGTGTGTGTGTGTGATAGACACAATGTGAAAATGAGAAGGAAGAACACGGAAATATGGAATTCGTTGAATGAGAGCCCAGTGATTTAGCAGTTATTATTATTATTATTACGGATTTTATTATTATCGGCTTTATTCAATATTATATTTGTGGTACAATAAGGAATTGTCAACACACTGTATTTCAACAAGTTTCCGTTTCTTACTTCTTGGATGATCCGGAACATGAATACTGAGTGATCGACAGTTAAAAGTTAACAGTTCAGTCAATCGACATCTAAATAATAATGTACATTCATTTTGGATATACCGATGATATACGAAGTTCAGTTACGAAGTAATCAAGAAAATCAGGGAAAACACATGATCATAAACAATTAGAATACAATGCCACCTCAGGTTACCATTCACTGTTGAGGTTATTCAATACACATGTTTATACACATGTTTTGTGATTACCAAGATTTGTTGAATATAACTAGCTTGACACGGCATGGTTTGATATAATCAAGTGTCAAGCATGTACAAACTGCATCAATCCTCAGTCAGTCAGTTAGCTACGACGTAGCATCAGGCACAAATATATCTATATATAAATATATCGATCCAAGTTGTCATACCTCATTAACACAGAAAGATGAACACCGGACTCACAGTAGTTAATTCAGTGGTGGTAGTACATAAAAGAATGATATAGTACAGGAAGAAAGAAACATATGAAGCAATTTTATTCTCATATTTTAACGGGAGATATAAAGTGTATACACCCACGTCATTGTGATCAATTCTGAACCATGTCACACAGAGTGTCCAAACATTGGTTTCGATAGTCACGCGCAACACAACCAAGTAGTCTGCATCTATCAACATGGCTAATGCTAAATGTTAGTGATTTCGAGGTCTGATGCCACGTTTTGGTTTGGCAGCCTCTAACTTTCTTCCAGCCATCCCCAACCACATCATTCCTACTGTAGAACATAATACTATGGTAATGAAGTGAAGAGTTAATAGTCAAATGAACGGGTGTTGAATGATGTAACTAATTCATTATGTTGAAGTTGGGATACCTATTACCTATTAAGTTGAATGCTGAATGTGTCAGGCAATGAATCAGCTAATAAAGCCAGAAATATCATTGATAATTTGGTTGCAGCTCAACCGTGTGAAATAAATCTCTGAAATGCATGTTTAATTTTGACATTTAGTCATTGTTCAGTATTCCTGACCATAATCCTTGTCAGTGTTCTACATCCTTCAATAATTTCGCAGTTGATTTCAACTTGGGACTGAATTTTCAACTTTAACTAGACAATGTTTTATGTGTATCAAGTTCACAATGTTATTGTAAAATTTACTGAAGGATATTTTCTGATGATCGTTTCAAATGTATACTTCTGACCGTTTACAAATCTTCATGTGTTTTTTCAAAGAGCATAGGTATTGGATCAGAACAAAATCCATATTTTCAAGAAGTTATGACTAGGTTAGAAAGTAATTGGAAAGTAAGTTGAAACATTATGATACATCACATTACAATTGCAATGATTTACACTTTTGTATGCCATTGTCTTTTTCAAGAACAAAAACCCTGATTCCATATCAGTGATGCACATGGGCTCCAGGATTTTGAGTGAACAAATGGCGTATGAACCGATTGTTGGTCAGTGGCTATCATGAGATTGCATATGCAGACGTTACTCCACTACCTTGTGGATCAGACATATAGGTCGAAGGCTCTAGGTATTGTCTCGTAAGAAAATCATCTGCTCCAGTCTGAGCACCCGGACAATATCACAGCACACACACACACATCAAGTGACTTGTGTGGTGCAGTTCGTTTGACATTGACAAGAAATAAGATTAGAATGATAATGAAATAGAGAACTCTGTCCAGTCCACCTCTCAGATCATGATCTATAGAATGTACCACTGTACTAACATTAGCTTATTTCAAATATCGTTACTTATTTATTCGTTTGCTTATCCATTTTAGTACATTATAAATCTAGTACTATTTGAATTCAATTGCATTCTACATGAGATTCCATGTGAATGGAATATTCAATTGAGTGGAGGAAGTGATGAACAACGATGTCCTGTAAGTTGGTTAACTTATAATGAATTAAAGAAACGTAATTATACGACAAATTTTAAACAACCAAAACTTATTCATATTATTCATCATATAAAACCAGATGATGTAAAAGTGAATGATACACCGACTGAGTACATTGATCAATCTGATATCACTCTTAAACGTAAGTTAATCTGTTATTAAATGTTATGCAACTGATAACATACAATTCTCATGCTGCCTTCATATTAGAATTGATAGATATCAAATTTTAAATATGAGACGTACAATTAAACAAGACACCCGAACTGTAATGTTTCAACCTCCAAACGTACATTCCCTTAACAGTGATGTTTACGACTAAGAATAATCAGTCTCTTACTGACATATTATATGCATCCTGTTAGGATTATTTCGATATTGTGTTAATTCACAATCATTCTAAGCAAAGATGAATGGTACCTAGCATTGGAATCTACCAAGCGAGTTTCGTCGAATTTAGGACTCATCAGCAAGATATACTTACATCCTAGATTTGATGTTCAAACTCCCTGTTTTTCACTTCAGACGTCATCGCGTTTTCTACTTATCTACTGAGTCGAGCTAGCAATTAACTCATGAAATGGGATAAATTTCAATCGACTTTGTATTGGTTATTTGAATCTTCCCATTGATGATATGACCAATAGCAGCTTTCTCCTTATAAGTCCCAAATAGGACTCGTTGTTAGATAGTCATGTTTTTCTCGTCTAAATAAACTATGTGTATACTTTGAAGCAGTAGATCACATTATTATAAAGCATTAGCTTCACCTACCATGTTATCACTCCCTACAATTGCGTATTCATGTTTATTCTCTATTGATTTGTAATTTCATTTGTAGAAAATGAACTATATGATAAATTCGTATCAGTATACCGTCAATATACTCGATTACATGAATCATGTTTCCAATAGATTCAATTCAAGAACCAATCAATTTGATGTTGATCATCTTCCGCATCATGTAATTTTTGTACTATTCCATGTTCTCAATCAATAGAATTGTTTATATTTTATTTTATTCGAAGACTATTTCTATGGAATTGTGTGTATCTACTAAGTTGATGAAATATGGTCGTTGAATGGGATGATTGTGGAAAGTAGGTGGAGCTAAGTGAATAAGAACATGGTGAAAGAAAATAAGATTTTGTCATTAGTTGAACAACCAATTGAATGGAATTTGTCACTGAATCAACTTCCTTGATAATGAAAACGCATTTGATAGTATGCATAGAAGAAAGATATGAAACCCTCATCAACATAATTGTGTAACTGAGAAGATTGTCAGCGCCATGCGAAATACATACAATGGATTACACTGCAGAGTGGTGCATGAAGGACAGCTGACAGACGCATTTCAAGTGAGGATCGGAGTCAGACAAGGCAGTTTACTCTCGCCATTCCTCTCTCTTCCGGTGGTCAACCAGATTATGTAAACCTCCATATCTCAAGGAAACACAGTATGCAATGGACAGCTCTGAGTCAATTAGAAGATTTGCACTTTGCAGATGATCTGCAATTAATAACTCATACACATGAACAAATGCAGATCAAAACAAATGGTGTAGCTTCAGCCTATCAATCAGTAGGACTCAACATACGCATGGGTAGAAGCAACATCCTTAAATACAACACAAAGAACACCAACGCAGTCACACTTGATGAAGAGTCTGTGGAAGGGGAATGGGAACATTCACGTTTCTGGGTAGCGTCATGGAAGAGGATGAACAAGGAGGATGTGATGCAGACTTACAGGCGACGATTGGCAAAACAGGAACAGCATTCCTACAGCTGAACAAAAACACATTCAAGTCAAAACCACTGTCAACCAACATCAAAGTGAGAATGTTCAATACGAACATCAAGACAGTTAGTTCTATTGTATGGAGCTGAGACTTCCAGAACTAGCACAACCATCATCAAAAAAGTTCCAGTATTGGTAGCAGTTGTCTATATAAGATGCTCAACGTCCGTTGGCTGGATACCATCAGTAACAGTCTATAATGCGGGAGGACAAAGCAGCTTTCACCTAGGGAAGAAATAAGGAATAGACGCTGGTAGTAGATAGAACACACACTGAGGAAATACTCAAACTGCATCTCGAGGCAACAGCTAACCTGGAATCCTGGCCAAAAGTATCATTTAGAAATAAGTGCATCAGAATGAAGACAGTGATTTTAGGGTTTCTGCGTAAAATTCTAATCTCATGTATGACCAGCAGTAAACATACCATACCATACCACACCATACTCAAAAAGTTTAACATATTAGCGGAGATCCAATTTTTTACTATGGAGGAAACCTGATAACGTTGAGTGCATTTAATGTTTAATTCTGTCATTTTCGATTGCATATAACGAACAGATGCTTCCTATAAATCCCAACTCTAAACCTATAATCTTTACAGTAAATACCAAATTTTAACTGGCAAAAATGTAGGCCATTTTAAGCATTCAAGAAGATGAATAATCAATATCCATATCCACGAACTTATATCTCGCTGTTTGTTCACTGTACAAGTAGAGTAAACTGTGGAAGGCATTAATTGTTTTATTAGATACTTAGAATTGGGTCACACTGAGGTGTACGCTGGCTACTTATGATGACAGATATAAAAAGTACGTAATACTGATCAGAAGTGGAATGTCTAGCAGCAGAAGATTGCAAAGATTGGTTTGAAGAGAAAACGTATGTAAAGGAAAGAAATTACAGTGGAATTAGAATGGGAAGCGTTGAGTCTGTCGAAGCGCCTTAGTCATCTGGCTGAGTTACACGCAAAATCGAAGTTCACAAAACAACGGTTTGTCTAAAACAGCGGTTTTTTATTGAATAATATATGAAATTAGTTACAAACATGAAGTTGTGAGGTGTGTGCGACGTTTACTACAATATTTGTCTGAAATAAAAAGGGCTTCGTGTAATAGTAACACAAAGAATAATTACAACATACCATAGAGCAAACGACAGCTATTAGTTGTGTCTAACTAAACTTGGTAACAGTTCATCAACAAGCAAAACCCAACCATGAGCGTGCAATATGAAAAGCGTTGCATTTAAACAAGAAGTAAACAATTAAACAAAATTGTGGATAACTACTACAATAATTGAGGTGAAGTAATTATAACGGTAAATACAATAAATCTTATAGGTAGATGTAAATATTTCCGAATATTACACGACAAACTTGCCTGACAACATAAGCTTAGAAATTGCTAGGAATACAACTATTTACTGAATATTAATAGGAAGTAGTACTAGTAGTAGTAGTAGTAGTAGTAGTAGTAGTACATCAATACACAAAAGAGTGAAAGGGAAGTGAATAAGGACAGAGAATGTAAAACACTTAACTGGAAGTATCATGTAAACGATATGTAAAAGATAATTGAATACAGATGTGCAAATGATGTATTTAATGTATGATTTTTGTATTTTATGAAACTACTCTACTACAATTTCCATTCCGACTGTTTTTCAATTGCCTCAGTTGTCTAATTCAATTATGGTTGAATGGTGTTATTGTAGGCCCAGCTGATTTGACTCCGATCTGGCTGAATGTATGAGGACATACATATGGACATACATTTTCCATTTAAATCTGTATGTTGCCTAGGCTAACACCATTTGTGTGACGCCAGTAATAAGAAGCTACATACGCGCTGCACAGGGAGGACTAATTCAAGCTCTCGTTTATCCATACAGATATGCAGAATAAGAAGCAGGTAAGTGAAGCGGAGAAAGAGACAGGTCGATTTGATCAAGAATGTTTTGATATTTATAGTTAGACAAAAATAAGTTACAGACATATGATGAGTAGGCTGAGCTATGCACACATGTACGCTCATATATGCTAGAATTCAGGAATCTTGTTTTCAGTAGATCTAATTCAACAAATACTCGACTTGATATTGTCATCCATACGAATGTATATATATATATATATATATTTATAGGTAGTTCATTTATTTTGTATCATCTTAGTCGTTTAACGCCTACATTGTTTCTATGTGAATATATTTCACAGAAAATTTATTTATGAAGACAAGTGATAATCTAATAGCATTTATATTGAGTGTGGTCACATTCTTCCGTAAATTACAATCTATTGATTATGAAAGTAAAATGATCTCTGTATATGATCATCAATATGGACTGATAAACAACCATAGAGCCTGATAATGAACTTATTGAAAACAATTTCTCTTTTAAATATTCTTCTTGTTTTGTTTTATATTAGAATTAGTACAACATAATAGTGAATTAATTTATTGATGTATTAGAGCAAAACATTGGCACTTGGTAAATATGACAACCATCAATTTCAATAGTAACTAACACCTAATTCTATTCTCATAATTAATCGACTGTACCTTATGGAAGAATGTGACCCCGCAAATGTGTCATTGACCTGTATACTGTTGAAGCCAATTTTCATACAGAGAGAATAGATAAAATTGTGTGATATTGGATAACTGACTTGTATGAATTCTACTTTCATTTGGTTCAATGTTTGTACTTTATGATTAGTCGTGTTCATTATTATAGTTTTCTAAGAAAGTTTATCTGTTGTTAAAACATCGTTGTCCTAAATGTAAAATGATTAGTACCTGATGAAAAATGGAATGTGAATGAGAGGGTTATAAGAGTTTGTTGAAATCCGTAACTGGATATAAATGTATTTCACTCCACTGATGAAATGTAAATGTTCATTCACTTCTTATACATCATTTCCTCCGCTTGAACATGGTTTATTCTCTCCCACTGTAGGTTGTTGCTGGCCAACGGATCCGAAGTATTTTACATAGACAGTTGCTAATAAACATTTGTATCTTCTGGATGATGGCTTTCGTAGTTGCTACACTGTTCTTCTTCTCTTGCACTTGTTATGGTGAAATAAGATCACAGGATAGACAGACATCATCCTCCATTGCGAAACATTTGATTGAGACGGGTTATAAGATTGACATCAAATCAGCATTTGTAGTGTTATACAAAAGCCTTGAAGGACTTATATACGGGTTTATTGAGACCTCAAGTATACGGAATGTGAAACCCTTTTTATGTGTTCAAAAACAATTTGTACTTACACTGAACCTATCCTCGTAATACTGATTTATTATCCACAGTGGTAAACACATTTGTGTATTTTTGTGTACTTTAATAATTTTTGCTTTGTTATGACTTACCCATAACCTCTCTAGTTGACCTTTTAGTTATACTTCTTTTCATAAATATGAAGAAAATTGTTGATTATAGTAATTGATAGTCTTTGACGTTATATACATAATTCATTACCTTATAAATCTATAATATCATAACGGTTACTTATTATATGTTATATGTTTCTGGTTCTGCGTTGTAACTCATTGACTGTTGACTACTAACTAACTAACTAACTAACTAACTAATTATCTAACTGATTGATTGACCGATTGACTGACTGACTGACTCACCGATATGTATTTTAGATTCTTAACCAATTTCACATTAGAATAAAAAGTACTTTTCAACTATTGAAAATATTCATCAATCTTTTACTGTGATTTCTAACCAATCAAACAAATTCTAATAAGATATACATCACTTGATATACCATTGGTTAACATGTTACACTTGAGATGTCTATTATAGGTAATCTCATATATATATATATATATATATATATAATGAATGGATCCATATAGGTGTATATATGGATATATAATTGATAACTCTATCAGTACTTCTTACGTAACACATTTCAATTTTTCTTTCGCTAAATATATTTTCAGATTGTTTTAAACAAATAAAAGAAAAAAGTTTCTCAAATGATTCATATTTTTAATGTATATCAATTGAATAATAAAATTTTATTTTCATCATTAATTATTACGACGTTAATAACATGAAATATATTCTATGTGATTATTCCTAATACTACTTATTGGATAGATCCATTGATAAGTTGGTAAGTTTAATTCATTATAGTAAAGTGATAGTTTGGTATAGTATTTTGTTCAGCATTTGATTATATTGATAATTATACCGCTTCATTGGTCTACAGAGAGAGAGAGAGAGAGACAGAGAGATTAAGAGTTTATCCCTTAGAGATCGAAAGTGAATGATTTTAAGTTCCAAGTGAATGATCATCAATGTACTATTGAGAAATCTTCTACTAGAATGAAACGGTCATTTAGTGCTTCAAGGTTCTTCAACCAGTTCTAGATTTTATTAAGTTCAACTATTAAAAATTATAAAATCAATCGTTCATAACAATAGATTTGTTTGAAGATTATTCATTCAAAGCGTTTGTAATGAAATGTAAACTGTTTATGATACGATAGTACAACGATTGTACTCAATTGATTACCCTTTGTATATGCCTATCATTTAAACTAATACACAACGATTACTACTGTATGACTTCAGTAAAAGTATCACTTCATATTGAAGCTTTGTTTATAAAGGTTGATTCACTAACCCTCGGGTACATCAATATTCATGCGAATAAAATACCTTTCAGTTGTGTTGATACAGTTATGGTTTCTTTGTTTACGGAAATCAGCCTTATCATGTAATAATATCGAACAGATTTATAAAAAGCTGCATTGTTTACCACAATCAGCTAATTACTCGATCTGCAAAACAGAACATTTGTTTTACTCAATATGTATTCTCTAAACATAACCTTCAAGAAGCCTTTTAAGCAAATTTGTGAAATGGCCAGCAGTTGAATTTAGAACCTATTTGAAACTTGTCAACTGGATGTACCTTCAACAAGATACTGATCAAATACAGTCGTACATAACCATGTGTAGTTACAAGTAAAACAACACCAAATGAATATAATCTTCAACAAAAATAATGACATTCTCTGATTATCTCTTCAATGTGTCACCGAAAATTTCATTTTGATTTGTTATTTCAATTTGAGTATTCAGCGGGATGGATGGTGGGTGTGGAATCACTGTAATTATTAATACAAAATGTATTCACCAACTACTTAAATAGCTTCATCAGTGTAATGTCTTTTGCTGTTTTAGGAAAACAAAATTCACATTGTCATCATATTTGATGGTGATCAAGGTCTACAATATCTGAATAGTCTTCTTAAATCTATTTTCTATTATCAAAATGGAAGATTTCGATGTGATTTAAAAGCTTGTTGTCTATCAAACTTTTGCGATCGTTTCATCGATGATTGTCATACTGTTATGAACAGTGGGTCGACAACATATACAACTGTATTTCATTTCTTAATAACGACGATTTCATCAAATAGTCAGTTGTTGAATTTGATGAATACATGGAAATTACATGATATGGAATATCATTTTTATAGTTGTAGTGATTATTTGGTAAGTGTTCACATGCATTATAACTAACTGTGTTACGTCACTGTTCCTATAATGTAATAAGAGTTTTGTGGAGATAGGAATTTTTTATAGTTCAAATCACGAACTGATATTAGTTGGACAATGATTGAAAAGTTGATGGTTATCGACAGACATCTTGTCTTGATACAGCATTTCATAGCCTCAACCCAAGTGTTGGATCCAACACCTGCGATCTCGCACATGAATGCCTAACCTGTAGTCCGATAGATGGTGATTTCACAGTATTCTAGTTTGACTGAAGTTAGCATGAACATATTTGGACGTCCACTTAGTAGTTTAGAGGTCAAGCGTTCTCTCTCGAGATCCAAGTTCGTGCGTCGGATTTCGGATACGGTGTTGCGATGCACACTGCTGGAATTCCATACTTGGATGAAACAACGGTCCAGTACTTCCAAGTTTTCAATGGTTTTCGATCTTAGATTGGCTTGTGATTTCAATGTATTATGGTATTTAACTTGATTATGTGTGATTATTTGCAGGTAAATCTTCGCTGGATTAAGTCTAAACATCCCTCAGGCGCTAAACCATTTTTAAAATTGATGATTCCAACAATTCTTCCATCTACAATCAGTAAAGTAAGTCATAGTTGTGCTCCTTTTCTCAGTAAGTTTCATCGTATTTTTCATCAAATAATTCTGTATAAATTGACCTCAATATTTACGTGTTTGATTCGCGATTTCGTATGAAGAAAACAAGTTAGTGTCAGTGTTCAGTAAGTGATTCTTATTCTACTACCACCTTGATAAGTATATAGTCAATTTGAAGGACTGCATTCTCCGAGGAATTACGAAACGTGAGCACAGATAATAATGTAATACAAAAAAGCATAATACTAAATTATATAATGGAATTAATAACCGTACAAAACAGTGGAAGTGATCTTAAGGAGAATGTTTTCGAACACTGATTGAATGTGAATAAATGAGTCTAACTAAGAAGAATCGAAAAGTAGTCGGTATATATCATGTTTCTTAGTTTTCATTATTCCTTAACTGTGATCAATCTATGATGTGAATTATATGCAAATTCAATCATTCATCTAAATCAGAAAGTAATAACGTATGACTAATATCAATTGTAATACAAATACAATTACAGACTACTTCTGTTTGATTATTCTTATGAAATATCAAAGATATTTGTTGTTGAAAGTGCTATAAAAGTGAGAACGTTTGACAATTTTCGAAACTAGAGTCGATAATAAATGCATGTCCAAGTTAAAGTCAAAGTAGATAAAAGTGGGATAAATGGATATGAAAAAATTATCAATATCATGTGATATTTTTGATGCCTATAGCTTCTACGTTATGTAAGAGATGGGATCGAACCCCCCTCGAAAGTCAAGTTAGTATACAATGGAACACGGCCAAATGCCCATTGACAATATTTAGCATGTTTATATCAGGATTCATTCATTTCAACTGCATATAATGAAATTATAACTGGAAGATGAGTAAACAAACCTGGACTTATTATTGACTATATTAAAACGATGATATTGTTACGGGAGTATATGATTAATCGGTAATTTGTTTCCACATTGTTGTACCTTTCCCTTTTTAGGTAATTGTACTAGATATTGATATACTACTTAATACAGATATTATTGAATTATGGAATCATTTTGAGTATTTTAAGGAAACTCAGGTTTGTTTTCTAATCATTATTGTTCATATTATTATTGATTGAAACATTATTGATATTCAAAGTAAAAACAAACATAAAATAATTTGTAATGGATTACCTACCATATGATTGATATCAAAGTGTAGAGTTTCAGTTGAATTGAATCTATAGTTTATGTAACTTACTTGATAAATACAGAGAAATCTATATGACTGATTGTTCATGACATTGTTCCCATTGAACTATGAACTCACAATAATCCAAATATGATTATTCTTATCTCAATTGAATGAATATGAATGGAATGATTTCATCATGAATTATTCAAAGATCCAACAGTATGGATTGTGAATACTCACACTATTTTCTTTTTCTTTTTTTTAATGAAACATTTAATCAAGACAGTCATTTATGTCATGATTTTTTAAATCTGACTAACAGAGTCATCTAGTTGATTGATGGATGAGTTTTACGTAATAAATCGTTAAGAGAAGTAAGAATAGTACATAATAGCCTTATTTGCAAAGATAGTCAAAACAATTGAGATAGTTTCGGTCAAATGTTTGTATATTCAGAAAGGAACATATCTTCAAACAGATATAGATTCTTGTAATTAACATACGATGAGTGAGATATGTGATAACAAATAGTTATGTGGAATTTAGTGTGTGTGTGTGTGTGTGATAGACACAATGTGAAAATGAGAAGGAAGAACACGGAAATATGGAATTCGTTGAATGAGAGCCCAGTGATTTAGCAGTTATTATTATTATTATTACGGATTTTATTATTAACGGCTTCATTCAATATTATGTTTGTGGTACAATAAGGAATTGTCAACACACTGTATTTCAACAAGTTTCCGTTTCTTACTTCTTGGATGATCCGGAACATGAATACTGAGTGATCGACAGTTAAAAGTTAACAGTTCAGTCAATCGACATCTAAATAATAATGTACATTCATTTTGGATATACCGATGATATACGAAGTTCAGTTACGAAGTAATCAAGAAAATCAGGGAAAACACATGATCATAAACAATTAGAATACAATGCCACCTCAGGTCACCATTCACTGTTGAGGTTATTCAATACACATGTTTATACACATGTTTTGTGATTACCAAGATTTGTTGAATATAACTAGGTTGACACGGCATGGTTTGATATAATCAAGTGTCAAGCATGTACAAACTGCATCAATCCTCAGTCAGTCAGTTAGCTACGACGTAGCATCAGGCACAAATATATCTATATATAAATATATCGGTCCAAGTTGTCATACCTCATTAACACAGAAAGATGAACACCGGACTCACAGTAGTTAATTCAGTGGTGGTAGAACATAAAAGAATGATATAGTACAGGAAGAAAGAAACATATGAAGCAATTTTAATCTCATATTTTAACGGGAGATATAAAGTGTATACACCCACGTCATTGTGATCAATTCTGAACCATGTCACACAGAGTGTCCAAACATTGGTTTCGATAGTCACGCGCAACACAACCAAGTAGTCTGCATCTATCAACATGGCTAATGCTAAATGTTAGTGATTTCGAGGTCTGATGCCACGTTTTGGTTTGGCAGCCTCTAACTTTCTTCCAGCCATCCCCAACCACATCATTCCTACTGTAGAACATAATACTATGGTAATGAAGTGAAGAGTTAATAGTCAAATGAACGGGTGTTGAATGATGTAACTAATTCATTATGTTGAAGTTGGGATACCTATTACCTATTAAGTTGAATGCTGAATGTGTCAGGCAATGAATCAGCTAATAAAGCCAGAAATATCATTGATAATTTGGTTGCAGCTCAACCGTGTGAAATAAATCTCTGAAATGCATGTTTAATTTTGACATTCATTAATTTACAACGACACTCAGCTGGATATCCCAGTCGAATGGTTGCGTCTTCCTATCATGATGGGAAGTGGTTTGTTGATTATATATGTATTATCTTTACCCTCATAACACAATCAGAAATCGTTTCGACTCCCCTCACATCATGGTGTGGAACACGGTTTATGGAATTACATCGGGATTGATGGGCCTTGAAGAATTACGCTCCTAAAACAACAACTGGGTTTTTAGTCACGTCTCTGATACACAGAAATTTTGACTTAGCAGAGGAAACACCTGAACCTCCACACTCAGCAGCTACCATTTGAATGGATCTACAGGACACACTGGTTAAAGACCTATATACTCGACAGTACACACAAGAATAATTACTGTATCGTGGTTTATAGGTTATCGCTTGCATCAATCGATGTGGACAATTGTGGACATACATTCGAGTGGACCAAATGTCGAAATCTTGATAGGAGGGAATAATGAGAACGTCAGAGAATTTGTGGGAGCTCAGCAATCAACAAACACATTATTATCGATGCAGTTTATTAACCAACCAGAAAAATCATGGAGAAGTATGTGATCAAGAATCAGATCAAAGAAAGAGACTATCCACGACTTAATCATCCAGTTCAGTGAACGAAACTCCATAAAAATCAACCATCAGAGTTCCAAGCATTCTCCACCATCTCTGAATATCATGTGTATAGGAACTAGTTAACTATAATTTATTGATAGAAATAGACATGATAATAGTTAGTTATAAAAGTCAGGGTTTAAATTTAACAAAGCATAAAAGTGACATATATCTGTTGTTTAATGAACATCATCAAGATTTCATGATATTATGAAAACGATAGAGTAAAATGTATTCATTACATTGGCCCTCAAATGCCCTGGTACGACCGAGAGCTAAACCCTACGATCGAGGCGT